ACTCAGCTCGTGCCGTATGAAAGGTGTTTTCACACCCGGTCCATCTCCATATGATATACCCCCAACTCAATCTCCTGAACTGGTTGTCAATGTAAATAAGGCGGTGGGGCTTGTTGGTTCTTCAATCGATGTTATCAACTCTAAACAGGTAGCAACACTGCACTATTACATATAAAGTAAATACTGTAACAGTTCAGTCCTTTGCATTTACATGCTTATTTGAATGAAGTTGATAGTTTTTTCCTCAACTTAAAGAAAACATGTTTTTTGGTCAAAAAAAAGAAAAGAAAACATGTTCAAAAGCTGAAAACCGCATAAGATCTGGGTTCAATTCTGATGACTCTCTTCCATATTTCGTCTTTGGTAGATTCTCGAGATTCCTCCAAATCTAACCGAGCAAGATTTTTCTGGCACTCCATATGTTCCGGTTTATGTGATGTTACCAGTAAGCAACTTTAATTTTAGCATTTACCCATAATCATCCTGAAATTTCTCCTTACTAACTACTTTTCTGTGGCAACAGCTTGGGGTTATCAATATGAAGTGTGAACTGGCTGATCGAGATGGACTGCTAAAGCACTTGAGAATTTTGAAGTCAATCCATGTAGATGGGGTTAAAGTGGATTGTTGGTGGGGAATAGTTGAGGGTCATTCCCCACAGGAGTATAATTGGAATGGTTATAAGCAGCTTTTTCAGATGATCCGCGATCTTAATCTTAAGATACAGGTCTGTCTTTTGCCTGCATGATACGTTAAGATACATTTTTCATAATGAGGTTGAATTCGAAGGGTTTGTCCCAAGCTTCATATGTATCCCACTTTCTTTCTTTCTTGCTAGGTTCTAATGTCCTTTCATGAATGTGGAGGCAATGTTGGTGATGATGTTTGCATCCCACTTCCTCATTGGGTGGCAGAAATAGGGCGAACCAATCCTGACATATATTTCACTGATAGAGAGGGAAGACGAAACCCAGAATGCCTTTCTTGGGGTATTGACAAGGAACGTGTTTTAAGAGGCAGAACTGCACTTGAGGTATACATACTCATGACTGCAAGCTATCATCTGTATATCTCTCTACCAATCAATGGATTCTTCAACACCTAATGACTTTCTGCACGCTTATATTCTTTTGCATACAATTCCCTATGTAGTAAGATATTGTTAAAAAGTCACAATTAGATAGGTAAAATTCGATCTATGCTTAAGTGATATGTTATTCTTGGTAAAAAAGAGAAAATCTAGCTGCCTAATTTTTCAGTTGGAAGATCTTTATCTCACTACTGTGGCTATGCTGTGTCTTTTCTTTACCCATAGATATTTGATTCTTGTTCATCACAATTATTTGAAATAACCAACTGATGAAACACTTTATGGTTTTGGTGGGTATATTTTAGGTGTACTTTGATTACATGAGAAGTTTTCGGATAGAACTTGCAGAGTTTGTAGAGGATGGTGTAATATCTATGGTTGAAATTGGACTAGGCCCCTGTGGAGAGTTACGGTATCCTTCTTGTCCCATAAAACACGGGTGGCGATATCCAGGGATTGGGGAGTTTCAGGTATATTTCTTTTCAACAGTCTTAACTCTGAGATAGCCTTCACCAGCTAGCTAACTTTGGCTTCCGTTTAATGATCATTCCGTTGCATTAATACAGTGTTATGACAAGTATCTCTTGAAGAGCCTGAGAAAGGCAGCAGAATCAAGGGGGCACCTGTTGTGGGCTCGAGGCCCTGATAACACCGGCTCCTACAATTCCCAGCCGCAAGGAACAGGTTTCTTCTGTGATGGAGGTGACTACGATGGCCTCTATGGAAGATTCTTTCTCAAATGGTACTCACAGGTTTTGATAGATCATGCTGACCAAATCCTCTCACTCGCTAAACTAGTTTTCAACAGTAGCTGCATTGCAGCAAAGGTGATTGATTTTAGTTCTCTAAGCCATTTAAAAACCCTATAATTTTTAGACATTTTGTCATAGTTTTATCACAATTTACTTAAACAGCTCCCAGACGTCCACTGGTGGTACAGAACAACAAGCCATGCTGCTGAGCTAACCGCTGGGTTTTACAACCCGAGCAACCAAGATGGTTATGCTGCAATTGCATCTACACTGAAGAAGCATGGTGCTACTCTGAGTTTTGTATCCGGAGAAGTGCAGGTTCTTAACCGTCCAGATGATTTCACAGGAGGATTAGGAGAACCTGAGGCAGTAGCTTGGCAGGTAAATAAAACGCACTTGGAATCTCATATCAGTTTCTTGAGCTTGCGCTTATCAGTTATCACCAAAACCTCAAATCTAAACTTGAGGTTTTTGCAGGTGCTAAACGCTGCATGGGACAGTGATACACCGATTGCTCGAGAGAACTCGCTTCCTTGCCATGATAGAGTTGGGTATAACAAAATGTTAGAAAGCGTAAAATTTCCGAACGATCCAGATAGAAGGCATTTGTCATCATTTGCCTATAGTAGGCTCATCCCAGCTCTAATGGAAGGACACAACATTGTCGAATTTGAGCGGTTTGTCAAGAAATTGCATGGTAATTAACGATCCGGATCTTTATTTTCTCTGATTGAAGTCTGTGAAGTTCTGATCATCTTCGTTGGTCGTAACAGGGGAAGCTGTAATGAATCATCATCATCAACATCAACAGGTTTAGAGTTTCGTTTGTCCCTGGATCAGCTGAACTGATCTACACTGTTAATGTTGTTAATTCTAGTAGTTTAGCATCATTTTGTAAATTTTGTCATTAAAAAAGAAAGTAAAATTAAGAGAGACATTATTTTTAAAAGAAGCCTGTGGCCATCTTATTATCTAAATGAGATTTTTATTCAACCGCCGTAAATTATTATTGTTTGAATTTATAAATAAAAACATCCTCAAACATAACCAACCGCCGTAAAAGCAGACACTGCATATGTACAAGCATAGCACACAAAGAACTGAGGAAGATAAACTATATGACAATGCGACGCGTCCCTACCAAAAGGCTATTATGTTATACATACGTGTTATACATACGTTTTATACATCTAATACTCGAGCAAATCTAAAGTTAGCCCTCATATATATGACAACACAGAGTATATTGTCATTCATTACTTCAAGATTTATGCCAACCATTTGATGAGTGCTTAATCTCACGGACTCTTTTCTTTGTGATGATCCGATTGCGTATTACCTTGTTGAATTCAACAGCTTCATCAATATTACTAACCACCATGGCACAGAGCTCGTCTAAAGCCAGCATAGAGAATGGCTCCTCTATAAGAACACCCACCTATAGAAATTTCAAGTAAGAAAGTCAAGAGGGATGACAAGGTAAGCAAGATTCTTTGAATAGTTGGGATTTTGCAATGCATAAAGAAGTAAAGTACTTCTTCAATGCAGAAGAGAGATGCAGCGCTGATGAAAGTAGCAGGAACAACATTCCAGCGGCAATCATCCCAGAGGATAATAGGGAGTGTAAGATGCCATAAGACTAAGAACCTCGACGTTAGTCGTGTGTAGGAAAGTGGAATCGGGATGCCCATTAGTTGTTCACATACACCAATTCCCTCCTGCAATTGCAGCATCTTTGATTCCTGTGGAAGAGATTAACTAACTAATTCGTAAAAGGAGCACACAAGATCATATCCAAAATTGTAGAAAGAGACTCGTCCAGAATTACGTTCAGAGATCACAGTCAAGAATGGAGATGATTTTAAAGATACAAGAAAGATACCAACATATCTATCTTTGTACTTTCCAAATTCAGCAGCTGAAGGCTCTGTGAAATGAACTGAATGACACAACGTGGACGATGCGTGGACTGAAGAATCAAAGACAGATCATCTGCGTCTATCACATTCTGAAGATCACTAGCAATATCTGAACCATAAATCACATGACACTGCACATGAAAAATTGCAAATCAATAAACACAATCAACCTTCCTCCACCTAATCATTTGACAAAACATAGACAAGAGGGAAATACAAGAAACCTTAAGCGCCACAGGGAAAGCAGCAATGTAACGCAAAAGCGCCTCTTTGATGATCAATTCATCACCGGAGCCATGAACAGAAGAAGTGACTAGCCTAGCTAAATCATTGGTTCCAGTGATGATCTTAACCCAAGCTTTCCTTCCTTGTTCAAACCTTGAATAAGAAGCCTCAGTGCGAAACACCAGAAGAAGAGCTAAGGCCGGAGCTGTCAACTGATACGGAAGAGGAGAAGCTCGAAGGACGGGGAAGAAATGAGGCAACCAGTCCAAACCCACGGCAGAGTTATAGCAGGCGATCAAAATGGCGACGGTGGTGAAGAAAAAAACAGGTGGAATCAAAGACAGTATAACTCGCGAAGACGGACTCGAAGATACGTGACGGAGATGCCGTAGTGAGCTTCTGTGTCTGACCCAATTTTCGTGAGTGTAGAGAGAGCGTTTCTGCTGCATCCGTCTTTCTTTGATGCCGTCTGACCAGTTCGGGACAGCTTTCAGAAGCGAAATAAGCTTCTCGGATAGAGTTGAATCGTCGGATTTGGGGCCGGAGGAGGCGCAGGAAGGATTGAATTTGAAATGGAGAGATTTGGGAGGCCTGGCGGAGATTCCGGAGCGTAATCGTGGTTTGAGGAAGGATCGGTTGGTAAAGTTTGAAGAAAAGGTTAGGTTCATCGACTGATACATTTTGGCGGGAAATTCGAGGTTTTAGGGTTAGGGATTTAGAATAGGTGGAAACAACGATGACGAAGAAGACGAAGAAGAAGAAGAGAAAACAATAAAGACATGCAAAAATTGCAGAGTGCAAAAAGTAAAGAGACAAGTGTGAGATTTGGAGCAAGGTCGTTTGAACAGTTGTGCGACAGTCAAATTGCGACACTTAAATGGGCTTTAATTTATAACTTAGGGCCTAAATGACCAATGTCTTATCTTTTAGCCCATGAAATTTCCACACCCTACTGGCAACGACGTCGTATTGATGACTCCCGTTGAAATTTAGGGTTTATCGAGAGATTGCGCATCTGAGCAATCAAAGTTGGGTGGGGGTGAATTGGAACGGGAAGAGAAAAAGGGATGTCGAAGAAAAACAATTTAGCCAAGAGAAAGAAGCAGCACGAGTACAATCTCCAAAGTACGTTTCTTTATATCTCTTAGAACGGTATCAGTTCAATACGCATGTGTATATATATATACATAGTTTTTCAACGATTTTTTTCCGATTTGCAGAAGAGAAAGAATTACAGGACAAGAAGATCAAGAAGCTTCATGCGACCAAGAACAAGATGAAAGTAAGAACCTTTTCTGTCTCTTATCTCTTAATTCTGATATTTAGTTCATATACATGGTCTTAGTAAAGTAGTAAACCGGCTCTGTTGTCTAATTAGTTGGTTGCCAATGGTGAAATGGTTCAATAGAATCGAATTTTGCTTCGAGTCAGTCTGGTCTATAGTGTTAATCAGAAGCTTATTTTGGGGAAAGGTTATATATTGAATCTTCTTACTATCTGATTATTTTGAGTATTCCAGTCTTTTATTTTACTCAAGTTTAGAGTTAGTTGATGATATACGTGGGTTGGTTGATTTTTGTTGTCAAGGTTGATGGAAGTGGGAAGAAGAAGAAAGGTGGATTTTGTGTTGGCAAAAAGAAATTGAAGACAAAACTAACTCCAGCTGCCAAAGCTAAAGCTGCTCAGGCAATGGAGCTTGACAATTGACAATGAACCTCGTTTTCTTTCACTTGTATCTAACACTGTTCTACTGCAATCATCTTTAGTCTTTAGTTTGAAGAAATCAAGTTGAACCTAGCTTCTTCTTACACTTATATGTATCACTCTTCCTTTCGAGTTCAAGATTTTGATGTCAAACCTGCTCGGATCAATGTGGATTCAGCTAATTAATATGTGATGGTTGTCATTTCTTAAACTGAGTTGAATTGCACGGTCTAACTCTGCCAAAGTTGCTTATTACTTTTAAAGCTCAGAATTCAGCACAGATTCTGATTTCTCAGAGAGAAAAAAACGACACAAGCATGTTTATGTTTATATTGGGCACAAGACTTTCAGGCTAAGTCAAACCCAAGATCTTTTCTGGCTTATTACTTGTTTACATTTCCTCTAAACTTATAAAAAAAAACTGTTTCTAAGAAAAAAAAAGGTCATATTATGTTTGTCATAATCAAAAGTCATATATAAACAGTGTCACACATTACCTGGTACACTAAAGTTGGAATCTAAATAGGAAAAATCTCAAAGGCCTTGAGAGGTTATATAATCCCATCAATGGGTCCTTGGGAGATATTATTATAGATTTCTTCATCTTATCAGAGCCTCTTGTCGAAAATAAAACTAGCTCTCAAAGTGGAAGCCAGTGGGCAAGTCTCTCTGACCATACAGGCCAAATCTTTTCTCACTCTCCGGCGCGTGGACTCCTATCTCTCTCTACAAGACTCTCCTGTCTGGTATCAATTTCCAAAGATGATCAATCAAGTCTATAGGAAGGAACAGTAGGGAGAAGTAACATCAGCTTGAAAACGAAGAGTCTGTTGTTCATCAAGCTCTGTTGGATTTGAAGAACGAACAGTGACATGTTGATGAATGTGCGATGCACGCGCCTGATAAAGAGTGTGGCCATATGAGTCATGAGCCATACAGATGCCTAGTTGCTACATAGAGAGCTACAGTCAAAGTCAGTTATTCATTAGGATTTTGAATTTCCAATACATTTTTATTTCTCAGAATTAAGAGAAAATAAAAAAAATAAAAGATCCCATTGTTGTTATCCTCACAGTAAATGCTTTTGCTCGAGAGAGAGAGAGGGTCTGTTAGAGGTTTTTTGTTTGTTTCTGTTTCCTTCTGTCACCCAGAAAAAGGAAAACACAACCAAAAAAAAAAACAAATTCAAGAAGAGAGAGAGAGAGAGAGAGATATCCCTTAAATAAAGTCTTAAACCATTGTTGATAGAAGAGAAAGCTTTTCCTGTTTTGTTTTTGCTTATGGCTATGATGAGAAAGAATGAAAGAGAGAAGAAGAGAAGTAAGTAGTAAGTGAGCTGAGAAAGTATTAAGCTTTGCATGTTCCTTTCTCTCCAAGTTTATATCTTCATCATAAAGTCTCCACCTTTGATTCTGTTTCTCTTCTTATCCATTTATCCTCTCTCTCTCCTCATAATACTAGCCACAATCTTTTTTAGGGTTTCTCACAACTTGTATCGTATCTACTTCACTTAAAAAAAAGTTAACAAAACAAGGAGTCTTCCTTCTTGTGAATGCAAAATGGATCGAAGAGATGCAATGGGATTATCCGGGTCGGGTTCTTACTATATCCAAAGAGGATTATCCGGGTCTGGTCCTCCAACGTTTCACGGATCACCACAGCAGCAGCAGCAGCAACAAGGGCTTCGTCACTTACCTAATCAAAACTCTCCATTCGGATCAGGCTCCACTGGGTTCGGATCTCCTTCTTTACATGGTGATCCTTCTCCGGTAACAGCTGGAGCTCTTCCTCATCATATCGGCGTTAATATGATTGCTCCTCCCCCTCCTCCTCCTCCTCCGAGTGAGACTCCCATGAAGCGAAAGAGGGGACGACCTAGAAAATACGGACAAGACGGTTCTGTTTCTCTGGCATTGTCTTCTTCCTCTGTTTCGACCATCACTCCCAACAATTCTAACAAACGTGGCCGTGGTCGACCTCCGGGCTCTGGCAAGAAACAGAGATCGGCTTCTATTGGTAAACCGACTATCTCTGGGACTTGTAATCTTCAGAAAAAGAAAAGCTTTATTATTTATTGTTTCTAGAAGATCAAAAACTATAGGATTATTTAATGTTTTCTCAAGTCAAAATATTTAATTGTTTACTCATGATGTGTCGGAATATGTTAAAACTTTCCTTAAATGGATCTAATTTTGTTGTCTGTGTATGTATTATGCTGCTCAAACTAGATGAGTTAGACATTCAGCTATTGATCCGTGAGCTTTGTTTTTCTTTTATTCTCTTGGACTGGTTAGGTGAATTGATGCCTTCATCTTCTGGAATGAGCTTCACGCCACATGTTATCGCGGTTTCAATAGGAGAAGTAATCTTAAAACACTATTACAGAGCTTTCTTGGAATGTTTTTTATTTGCTGTTTGCTGAAAAGCTTTGAAACTTTGCATCAGGATATTGCATCGAAGGTTATATCATTCTCTCAACAAGGTCCAAGAGCGGTTTGCGTTTTATCTGCAAGTGGCGCAGTCTCTACTGCAACACTTCTTCAACCTTCGGCATCTCCCGGAGCCATTAAATATGAGGTTCCATTTTGAAAATTTTCACTATAGAGAGATACACTTGTGGTTTTACTGTTTTCTTAAACATCTGTTTTGTATATATTCCCAGGGCCGGTTTGAAATCCTCGCGTTGTCAACATCTTTTATAGTGGCTACTGATGGAAGCTTCCGTAATCGAACTGGAAACTTATCGGTTTCGCTTGCTAGTCCCGATGGGCGTGTGATTGGTGGTGCCATTGGGGGGCCTTTAATAGCAGCAACTCCTGTTCAGGTTTGGCTTAAACTTTGTTCTTGAACTTAGTTTTTTTTTTCTTGCAAGTCAAAATTCTTAGGATTGAATATACATCCTTGGGCCTATCAGGTTATTGTAGGGAGCTTTATCTGGGCAGCTCCAAAGATCAAGAGCAAGAAACGAGAAGAAGAAGCTTCTGAAGTTGTTCAAGACACCGATGATCATCAAGTTCTGGACAATAATAGCAACACGATTTCACCTGTTCCTCAGCAGCCACAGTCACAGCCAAGCCAAAACCTGATATGGTCAACAGGTTCAAGGCAAATGGATATGCGTCATGCTCATGCTGATATTGATTTAATGCGAGGTTGATGACGATTATAGCAAGAACTCTGTGTATATAAAGCATGGAATCTAGGAAGAAGAAGAAGAAGGAATATAAACTAACCTCTGAACAAAAAGTATGTGGAATTGTTAGGGAAAAAGATTGACTCTAGTGTACCTCTCAAATCTCTAAGCTTATTTGGTTTTGTTTTTCTTTGTGACTCTGAAGATTTGCAGAGTTTCTAGATTTCTCTTTATTTCAGAATGTTCAGTCTTTATGATTGCTTGAAACTTTGATTCTACAGCTTAGATTTCAATTTAGTGTACCCCAAAATTTAGATCGGACCGAGATATCGGAATCTGCTAGAAATTGGGGCTTTTTATGTACCTTCATATGACCCAACTCATCTTCATCAAATTGATTGATATTAATATAAGGGATCCATAATAATTTTTTCTTTAAATTTATAAGTAGCTCAATGTTTAAGATTCTCCTTCTGTTCCTCCCAATACTCATTAGTCCACTTCTCAACTTTTTTTCTCGACACTTTCTTTCTTCTCAAGAAATCTCTTGAGTGCATCTTCTTCAAAAGGTGGAGGCATCACACAAGCAGCCTTAACCCCCGGATACATAACCAATGAGTCATTCATAGATTGTCTCACTCGTCCTCCATTGATCCGGCAAGCTATTGTCTCTGCACACACTTCTTCGGCGCCTTCAGGCACTTCTACATTCATCTTCATCAACTTCCCATAGCTTTGCAATAGATGCAACATGTAATCATACACATACTTCATCTTTAAATTCTTAAGTATAAATCGACTCCCATTTCTCCCTATAGCTTTTGCCTATAAAGCAAGAGCACGTCAGCCTCACTCAAATACATGGCTAGTTTTAGAATCTTTTATTCCAAGAATGTTGTAAAACCCAAACATCAAAGAAAGCATAAGCTTCTGAAAACATTGGACTGGTTGTGCTATATTTACCTTTTTGGTATTATTATTGCCCCAGTGGACAGCAAAGGCAACGTCACTACATTTTTGTCGAGGTCTAATGGGCCAATAATGCTCCATTGGAACCAAGCTTCTAGTGAAGAAATCAAAGTAAAATGGCTTTACAAGAAGAGTCATACTGTCACAAGCTAATATGTACTTTTGGCTCACCGACCAAGCCCTTCCTTCTACATAAACCTTGTACCTTAATATTATCCAAAAATAAAACATACCCAGTATTTAAATTTCAGTTAATCAAATAACTCGAGGAGGGCAAAAGGATTCATCAAAACCTGTGGGTCCATTGATCTTCTAGGTTTGAAGTCCTAAACCCAATCGTACCCTCTCTCTTCCAATCCTGCAAAGAAACATTGTTCAACTAAAGTCATTAAGCTTCTAGAATCCTATAAGTCATCATCATCATCATCATCATCATCATCATAAAAGAGATTAAAATATAGTAGTAAGTAAAGGAAACCTGACGATAGAGATGAAGCATGGGATCATGACATATAATGAGGTCTCTTCTGATCTTTGCAACTTGGGGATTCCCTTTCCAATATGCGTAAGGTTCTCTCTCTTCCCACTTCACCTTCTTCCACTCCTTAATGTTAATTTCCGGCCTAATTAAGCATAACTTGGGGTCTGAGCATATATATATACATCGAATTGAGACAATACCAAATTTAGCTTAACCGAACCTAACAGAATAAAATATGTATTATCTTTCTATGTATTTTATTTATTTTCATGGTTTATCCAATACTTTCGAATCAAACCGATCCCAAATACTTTAATAACCAATTTAATTACAATTATTGGTTTAGCGATATGTGGAACCAGGAACAGAGTATAATATTACGAGCCCCAAAAGCTCCAATCGGGGAAGACAATGTCAAAAGCACCGGGATGGCCACAGTAATGGAAGAGTGGAGGAGGCGGTCACGTGACACTGACTCCTGGTCTTGGCCTATAATATCTTCTCCAGATTTCAGGCAAGTCAGAGCACAAGAAGAGAAGCTCAAGATCAGGGACTTGACCAGGATACATCCTTAGAAGTTGCACTATACCCCATATGGTGAAAACATCTCTTGTCTGAAAAGATTTATTGTATTGTTGCACATACACTCTTCCTCCTTTTATTATCAGTCTGAAGTGAGCCTTACCACTTGCTCTCTCTAATGTCTCTCGAGTGATTCCATTCTCCCGCCATGCTTCTAGATCCTTGTGGATCCACCTGAAGTAGTCCGGACAGGTCTCTGTATCGTCGTCTTTAGGGTCTGATTTCTCCCGGTAGCTTTCAGAACACGTATGTGTTGTTATGTTCTGGTCTAGTGAGCATCGCAATGGGTTGTTGAGTGATGTAGGAGGAGGGAGTATCGTCTCGAGGATATGCACGTTGGAATTTTTAGTGAACACTCTTGTCACTTTGATTGGACCTCCACCCGTTGCAAAACCCATATCCATCCAGCTGAAAGAAGCACCAAGGAGGATGATGATGAAGACGAAGAAGAAGATTGTGGTGGTGAACCATGGCTTAGTTAGTTTACAACTTAAACTCGAGATTGAGTTATTATGTTGCCTCTGATGATCATAGATATTTAATCCATCCAAGAGAAAAATATAAAGAACAAGAGAGAGAGAGATTAGAGACAGGGATCAAACAGAGCTTGCTTAAGGGTTTATTGAGAACCGAAACAAATATATATGTCTTATATATGATTAAGGGTTTATTGAGAACCGAAGCAACCTCCTAAAACAATTAAAACTATAGTTATTATTATATGATCTGTGCGAAATTATTGAGCCTTATGAAGAATATTCAGAGACATTGCAGTAAACGTTATTAACTATTACGAATTTACCACCAACTTTCTGTTAAACCCTTACCTATATATTAGTTTTTCAAGTATATGATCGGTGCATATTTTTCTTTTAATGTCTATGTCACGTTATTAATGTATAGGAAACCGTATAAAATCAGACGATTCATTAAATCAGCTTTGAGATTGTCAACCCCTCGAACGTATAACGAATATCATAATTAGTACCTTATCTCAGTTAACTCATTTGAATTTTAATAACACAAGTAGCTATCTTTGATTTTTATTTTTTACAGTGTAATTAATTAATAACTTGTAAGTTCTATGTTTGTTTATACTACATACGCTTGGTTATATTTATCCAGTCAAAAAGATAAAATGTAACTTAGAGATTCATGAATCATGATATACTAGTCGGGGAAATTTCTTACTAATTTCAATATATAAGTAAATTAATCTATAAAAAAAACAAGAACCTCTCTGGTTAAGAAGGCTTTTTGGTATTGGCCAAATCATGATAGTATTGATCTTCCCACAACTCAACTTGACGAGTCAAATTAGCTTTTCTCTCGAGAACATCTCTTAGAGCCTGAGGGTTATAAGGAGAAGGCATCTCACAAGGAGACTCTTCACTGGGAAACATCACCATCGACTCCGCCATGAAATCTCTCCACCGTCCCGTCGCCGGACAACCCATACTATCCGGTGTAATCTCCGTTGCTCCCCACGGGATCTCCGGCTTAAACTTTAAAAGTTTCGCATACTCGTTCATCAAATGGAACATGTAATCATACACGTATTCCATTTTCACTTCCTCTCTTATATATCTACTCCCTTCTTCCCCTATCTTACGCGCCTATTAAAGAAAAACACACACACAAAATCAATGGGTTTAAATTACTAACAAGTAACAAAACATAACTCCCTGGGACTGGGAGGTCTACTAAATTAAAATGAAATAAATGTACACAAAACCTGGTCCAAATGAGTATTCCCCCAATGTACGGCATATTTGAGGGAAGTACACTTAGAGTTGTCTCTGATAGGCCAATAATGTTGTAATGGCATCATTCCACGTATGTAAAAATCATAGAACTTAGGTCTCACGTATAACGTCATAGAGTCACATGCCATTATATATTTCTCGCTCACTGACCACGCCCATCCTTCTATATAAATCTTGTACCTATTCCATTAATATCACTAGCAACAATTGAGAACTCCAATTTTTGCAAAATATTTCCCGAAATAGGCAAACGAATAAATGAAGTAACCTATGTGTGCATTGGTTCTCTAGGTTTGAGTTCTTGAATCCTTCTCTAGACTCTCTATCCCAATCCTTCACAATCATAAAACAATTATTTATCGTTTAAGCTATTAATAAAACTGTAACACATTAATATATCAGATTGGGTATAACTAACTATTATGAGGAAGCAGACCGACCTGGATGTAGAGACGAGTATTCCAATCTTGTTGTGGTGATGAGACATTACATCTTAGAAGATCTCTTCTGGTAGGAGCTACGTTAGGATTGCCTCTCCAATAAGCATAGGCCTCACGATCATTCCATTGCGTCATCTTGTTCCCTTCTTCTATAGCCACTAGCGATTCACCCCAAGGCTTTATATTAACCTCAGCCCTGGCCCAATAACAATAGAGCTTCAGTGTAAGCCCATTAAACGGAGAGAAAATCTCATATACTGTATTTGTATTAAGATGCTGCTTACCAGCCCCAGAAGGACCAATCAGGGAAGACGATATCCAAGCTGGCGTCATCTGAGCAGTAACGGAACAAAGGAGGCGGGGCCGGATGCTGTTGACCTTGAAAGTCTCTCGATCGGACGGTTGGTCTATCGTCTGGGTCAAAAATGAGCTCAAGATCTGGCAGCCTACCTGGGTACCACCGTAGCAGCTGTACGATACCCCACAGAGTGAAAACGTCTCTCGTCTGAATAGATTTTCTGTACTTTTTAACGTACACCCTCCCGTCGAGGATCACCACCCTGAAATGGGCCGTCCTCCTCGCTTTTTCAAGCATGCCTCTCGTTATACCTGTCTCTTTCCATGGCCGTAGATCTTCGTGGATCCAACGGAAGTAAGAAGGACACGTGGATGGTCGTGAATGGTTGCTTCTTGGTTTGTTTTTGTTGCTGTTGTTTCTCGAGGAGGAGCCATCTTCGGGAAATTGAGTTTGATGTCGTGTCTGGTTCTGTACGCATTGGTCAGGGAATCTTTGGTTCGTGATTGGTGGTGTTTTTCTGACTGCTGTTACTTGCTTCAGACCTGCAAAAGTTGTCTTCAAGAACAGAGATAGTAAAATTATTAAGTAACTCTCAGGTTCACTTGATCGAAGAAATTGATACACATATATATATATATATATATATATATATATATATATATATATACAAGATTGTCGAACTCACAAAATCAAAACAACCCAATAAGTCTAGGAGACCAGCAGATATGAAGAGAGAGGTGACGAGAAAGAAAGTAGCTTTTGCGATGCTTTTTGCTGGATGCGATTCCGGTTTAAGACAGACATAACTATGCTTGTTCGTTTGAGGATTGTTGTTGTTGCTGTTCCTCTTCATGCTTTCCCTCCTGGTTGAATCATGAATCTCTATATCTATCTACGTCTCCTTCTTATGCATATATATATTTGCTCACAATTAAACATTCAACAGGAAGCTAGAGTTGAAGAAAAACGAGAATCAGGGGAGATGAAACGTTTTACCCAAGGCGATGAGAAAGAAAGCTCAAAGGTTTTTTTGGATTGGTGCTTCTCCACGAGGATCTTTGAACCTTGTTTCACGTTTCCTTCAACACTAGACCCAGAGTTCACATCTTTTTTGTGTGTTAATGAAGTTCATATGTTTGTGTGAACATCCTTTACTCTTTTTGGTTAGATTTTTTTCCAAGGGTTAATGTTTTTATTAAAGAAATTACTATATTTTTTTATCACTTTGAAGAAATTGGTCATCCATGTTCCCCATGATCGTCCCTCCTATCACAAATAGACAATGAATGATACATCAGAGAGATACAAAACGTTTTTGGTTTACCAAATAATCTGCTTACTTCTATAAAAATAAAAATGTAATTATAAAGAGTTGTAATTAATTTTGAAGTCCTCGTTGAGAAAGTTTGTTATAAATGCTTTCAAGTTTGAATACAAAGAATCCGAACTTCCAAGAAAAATAAAGATAAAACCTTTATTAGTTAACCCCATTACATAAAGTTAAAGTGACATCACAGATCATTATTCGACTATCGACTACTCACTCATTATACAAGACATATAAAAAATCCTAACTAATTCCATGTTGTGTACTTTTATATATATTATTCTAAGAATAAAAGAATTATATACGTTACAGAAATATATATATATATATATAATAATACAACTTTCACAGGCTCTTCAAATCTGTGAACTGCGAGTCTGTGTGAGTGTGATTTACTGACTACCCAGCCTTTAATCATCATATTTTATAATTACTTTACTGCTTTGAAAAGAAAATGAAAAAGAAAAAAAAAAAAGATTACAACGTAAAATTAAACCAGCTAGGCAGGAAATTTAAAAACCAGTTGGGCCCTTAGGATCCAGTAAAAGCCCAAAAGATTAAACAAAAACGAGATGTCTCCATCTCTCGTTTGAGTAGTTTTTTTTTCTTTGAACACCAAAACGAGCAAAGTCGCGTAATAAATAAATAAAGGGCCCATATATCACATGCCCCTAAACCGGTTTAGTCACCTTCAATAACATACGCATCTTAATCGGAACGTTGTGTACACGCGCGCAGCAAAATGGGTAAAACAAGGGTCCAACCAAGACATTATCTTGTTGGTTCATCTGTCTTCCAGCGTGTCAACTCAGTGAGGCTCCACGTCACCCTTTTGGTCCATTAGATTATTTAACTAACTCATAAATAACTTCAAGTACAGTCTCTTAGATATTTTCTTACACATTATACATACGCAAGACACACTCTTCAGTCGAAGCCTTTAGAGTTCAACTTTTTTAGTTTCAATGTTTCATAAGATTAGCAACTACATAAATGTATGTTGGTGTTAGTAATAATAATTTTTTCTAAACTATAGTTAAATATATTTGGATATATACAGAGTTGGAACTATAATATGTAAAAGCTAATCTTTGTTGAATTGAAAATAAGCAAAAGAAAGACACATTATTATTATTATTATTTACTTTCTAGGGATGGGTGACTGGTGAGGGTGAGGGGTGAGGTGGCATCGTTGAACAACTTAACCTGTCGGCAGTGAACAGTGAGGTGTTTTAATCACATGGATCGCATCCAATGTGTAAGGCAAACTTTACAGCCGCAGGATCACATCAACGGTGAAGCAAAACAACTGTCTCACACATATTAAACGCGCGTACTACGCTCCACCGGTATAAGCTAACGGAGGATATAAATTACTCTCTCTTCTTTTCTCCTTCCTTATTGGCTATAATCTCCATTTTATCCTTTTTATTTTATTTCCCTATCTTTAAGGCAAAACGTAATAAAGACATTCTGTTCTTCTTCTTCTTCGGCTGAGAGGTAATGGCGGAGGAGCAAAAGACGAGTAAGGTTGACGTAGAATCTCCGGCGGTTGTAGCTCCCACGAAGGAAGCGGCACCTCCTGCTCCGGTTGAAGTGGCGGAGGAGAAAGTTCACAATCCACCTCCTGTCGAGTCCAAAGCTCTTGCCGTTGTTGAAAGTAAGCTTCTTTTCTTTTCTTATCTACACAAACACACACGTGTAGATATATGGTAATCTTCTTTCTACTTATGAGTATTGAGTCATGAATTATTATAGCATGTAAGTATTTTTCTTACGTTTGGAATTGAGGGTTAGATTTACTGCTTAAGATCGTGCCTGTGGTTGTGAATTCGTTTGATTAGGGTATACTCTAAAATCCATCACCATTTGAATCCTAAGAACTTCATCATGGCATGTAATTTTGTTTTTCTTTTAAGAAAATTAGTTATTCCCGAATGAAGATATTAGTAAATTATGATTAGTTTTCTGTTTAATTAAGGTAGAAACACACAATTAAAGCAATGTTCCCTACCTGTAATTAGTGCTATCAAAAAGTATATGGGAATACTAATAATTAGTTGTAGACAGCTATCAGATTAAGAAAAGTGGTTTACTTTCCTAATATTCCTACTTTTTTTTTTTTTTTTCGTTTTTCTTAGAGTTGCCCTTACTCCTGGAAGTTGGAATTAACAATTACAGTATGTAGGAGTAGTAGTAATACTAAAACTTTTTAAACAATTTAAAATCCAGGAGCACTAGTTCATCTTTAATTTCTTATTATCTTTGATACCCTTTAATTAGAGTTAAGTTGTTGAACTCTAAATCTTGTCTTCTGCTTTGCTTTTCTGTGGAGTTTCCATAAACTTCTTATTTGGAACCTAGTTGGCGGATGAATAGAAGAACTATAATTGATGACCATGTATATATCTGGTTAGCAAATTAGAGCATCAAAATATAAGTTATAAGTGAGCTTCTTGCAACAAAATGTCAATGTGTCGTACTTATAAGAAAGCTACTTGCAGAGCCCATCGAGGAGCATACACCGAAGAAAACTTCATCTGGTTCGGCCGATAGAGGTCAGTTAAGAACAACATTTTGTTTTTTGATGTCTACGTTTTGGTTAATTTGTTCTGTAATTGACATCAAATCTGATTTTGTATTTGTTTTGGTCAGATGTGATACTAGCAGACTTGGAAAAGGAGAAGAAAACGTCATTCATCAAAGCATGGGAAGAGAGTGAGAAGTCAAAAGCTGATAACAGGTACACACTTACAATACTAAATTTTTCTTGATCTCCTTACTCAAACATTACTACTTCTTACAGTTTATAGATAATCACCTGATGATCTTGAATATTGTGCAATGGACAGGGCACAAAAGAAGATATCTGATGTGCATGCCTGGGAGAATAGTAAGAAAGCCGCCGTAGAAGCTCAACTCAGGAAGATCGAAGAAAAACTAGAGAAGAAAAAAGCACTCTACGGAGAGAAAATGAAGAATAAAGTAGCTGCAATTCACAAGGAAGCAGAAGAGAAGAGAGCAATGGTTGAAGCTAAAAAAGGAGAAGAGCTTCTCAAAGCTGAAGAAATGGCTGCTAAGTATAGAGCCACTGGTGTAGTACCAAAGGCAACTTGTGGATGTTTCTAAGTCTTTATTAAATTTGTCTATCAGGTCATTGTTTGTAACAATTCATCTCTGTTTCTTTCTTCTCGTCTTTTTTTTGTGCGTGTGTGATTCAACAACTTTTTTTTATAGTTTTTGGTTATTTGTTTGGTTGCTCGGGTCTTGTTTGTATATTGGGTGATTATGTGTAAAAAACAACATTGAAGTGAAAGATTTTATGGAGTACAATCGTACGAAGCATCAATCATGGTTTGCTTTTTGTTTACGTTGTATGTTTATGATCTCAGATTTGATCCTTAGATTCTAAAATGTTAAAGAAACTTGACTCGACGCACATCAACTAAAACCATTAATAGATTCAGACAATACTGAACACACAGGTGAATCTAAGAGCAATAAGCAAGAGAATGAAGTAAAAAATGTCTTCTTCGGTTTGATCTTACTACTCTGAAATTCCTTCCCAAGTCTTCAAGTCTTAAAACAAAAGAAATCAAGACAAGTCATAAAACACTCAAACCCAAAGGTAAAAGGTTCTTTGAAAATGAAAATGAGAGTTGAGAAAATGCAACTAAAGGTTCATATCATGCAGCAGAAGAAGTCTTCAAACCAAACCAAACAAAGCCAGTACTGCTTTGAAGGTTTAGATACTACCAACCGCTTCCATCGCCATCAACCACCTATACTGTCTCTTCTTGCGTCGGTACAGTACTCTGTGTTGCCTTCATATCTGGAACGAGCTTGTGGCTGCCAAAGCTGAATGATTTGCCTCCTCAATACACCTAAACAATGGCAAACCAATCATTGGGGATTTGGTCTATGAGTATGTCTGGTTTTTAATGTTGAGGTGCCTAGAGAGGGATTTGTCTTACCGGTTAATCCATCAATGCCTTGCCGGATGGAGAATGTGCACCAGGTAGAAGTCACTGACAGTAGATTGCCTTGTCGATAAGTGAAGGTATTGGCTTGATTTCGGTTCCAAGTTCTTGCTCAGTCTGATACCTGTTGGAAACCAAATAGATGAGTAAGAAAGCTATAGCATCTTCGAAAAGAGAGGCCACATCAGTTGAAGAAGAAACACGAACATTTTGAAGCGGTCCTCATAAGTTACCAAATTCACAGCCAACCCAAGGTGTCCATATCTCCCCGATCTGCCTACCTGGTAATGTAAATGAAGCAAAAAAAAACATTCACAAAATGAACTTATAAAAGGAGAATTACTTAAGATTTTATAAGTCAACATCAATTTCCCTTAACATACCCTGTGTAGATACGACTCAGAAGTCCTAGGAAAATCAAAATTTATGACAACATTCACAGCTTGAATGTCAATCCCACGTGTAAATAAATCTGCAACAGACAGATATTCCCCGTGAAACTTAAAACACATTTGCCGCTATTGAAGTACATGAGTAACACTAAACGTACCAGTGCAAACAAGGTTTCTGCAAGCACCATTTCGGAAATCATGGAAAACCCTGTTCCGATGATCTTGAACCATCTTTGCATGGATATAGAAACATGAGTAACCGAGTTCTGTGATTTTCTTGGCTAACAGCTCCACACGATTAACAGAGTTGCAAAAAATAATGGATTGGTTTATTTGGAGCTGCAATTGATAAACAATACTGACTATAAAGATCCACTATATCAAGTAGCCAGACAAGAAAACAGTTGGGTCGAGGGCTGTCTGAAAATCTGACCTTAGAGAATAGCGTGTTCAGACAGTGCACCTTCTGTCTCTCTTCAACAAAAGCATAATATTGGGTAACACCCATAAGCGTGAGCTGATCCATGAGATTAATAATGTAAGGCTTCCTGAGATATCGATCCTTGAAAGACTTAACGGTGACGGGAAATGTAGCTGAAAACATTAAAATCTGACGGTTTTCTGGCAAGAACTGTATCAACTCCTCTATGGAAGGTTGAAATTCTACAGACAAAAGCTTGTCGGCCTGGTAAAGATGTTTGCAAGTTAGAACAATGAAAATTAGTCAATCAAATTCTGCAAACATCTGTGATAACAGGAACTGATTTTTTTTTATCTTTAAATGGAAGTTTTCTTTTTTTGCGGGGAAAAATTTGAAAGTCTTTTTGGCAGGAATCCAACAACGTTTGTCTTCATAGATTTTAGCAATAAACACGCCAACAGGAAAATAAAGCTCAGGTCTAGTAGAACAAGGGCCAAAAAGAAGAAGGAACTCACCTCATCCATTACAAGCATCGAACAATCTTTCAAAACACACACACCCTTTTTGGCAAGATCTAATATTCTTCCAGGAGTTCCAACCAGCAAGTGTACAGGTTGATATAATCGCATGATATCATCCCTCAGACTGGTACCGCCAGTGGTGACCATAACCTCAATATTTAAATATTTGGAAAGCTCCTTGCAAACCTGTGATGTCTGAAGGGCCAGCTCTCGGGTTGGAACTAGAATTACAGCTGCACAAAAAGGGGTGCAAAGTAAAGAAAACCCAGCAAGTAAGTAGCTTTATATAAATGAAAAGGAACCCAGTAACTGAAAAGTAGATTTATGTAAGGGAAGTAACAAACCTTGAATGACATTGTTCTCTGGATCAATTTTCTCAAGGGTCGGAATGCAAAAGGCACCAGTTTTGCCAGTCCCATTTTTGGCTCTAGCAAGAATATCACTACCAGTCAATGCAATAGGGATGCTTTCTTCCTGAATAGGTGAAGGCTTTTCGAAACCTTTTTCGTATATTCCTCTAAGTAGATCTCTCTTCAAAAAGTAATCTTCAAATTCATTTCCTTTAGTGGCAGTCACATCCTGCAGAAAAGATGAAAAATTATGCTCTAAGGGAATGCTGTCTTATCAAAACAAGGTTGGTCACTGAGGAAACCTTGAGCAGGAATTAGATAAGGAATCATACCTCTGTCTGGTAACGATCATCTCGTGGTGGTAGCTTTAAGGTAGCCTTCCAGTCTTCAGTGCTAATAATCATGAAGAAACCCACATAATTCGTAAGCTGAAAAGTATGCAGAAAACTTGAAACACCACGACCTCACCTCACCACATCAGTGAAGAGCACCATTTCATAACAACCATTCGTAAACCTTGAATCCAAATCATTTGCATATAATTTGAAGGATTAATCCAACAGGCACTTACTTGGAATCGTTGTTAGCTTCCGATTGAACCGTCTTCTCGACTTCATCTACGTAACTCGGATCAGTAGGAAGCTGAGGGCGTCCAGACCATTGTTGTTGTTGCTGTTGAATTTGCTGAGGGTTGGTCTGTGGGTAAGACCGTTGAACGTACTGCTGAGCATTAGGTTGAGACTGAAGATACTGTGGTTGAGGTTGCTGCGGAAAGGGAGTCCGAGACTGAAGGTACTGGTGAGGCTGAGGTTGCTGCGGATTCGGATTCGGATTCCGTGACTGAAAATTAGGATCCGGACCAGGACCCGCCGCTCCAATCCCCGGAGGAAATCTTCCTCTATTATTATTATTATTCATCACAATCCGATCTCGAACAGATTAGCGAGAGAGCCCTTATTCTACCAAATAATCTTCAACAGCTCCCAAAAAAAAAAGAGACTAAAAGACAACTCTGTAATCTGAAGTTAGAGACAAATGGAGATGACTCGACTGATTCGACTCTGAAAGACAAGATCGGAACAAAATTAATCCACAAACAAAGGAATGGAACAAAAAAGAGAATAATTGAACAAGAGAGTAATAATTTTTTCGGAAAATAATTTCGTCGTCTGTTTTACTGATGAGAAAGAAAAAGAAAGAGAAAGAGACATACACTCGCCGCCGGAGTCGTTGTTTTAAGGATTTTTCCTTTTTCTTATTTCACTCACTCTTATCCACTCCCCATTATTTTACTAATATAACCCCATACTTTCTCATTATCCTAATATAACCCATACTTTTTCACAATTTTAATACAACCCCCATGTTTCTTAATTTAGTTTTTTTTTTTTTTGGTTATTCTCCTTTGATTTTAAAAATAGAGAGAGAGCTACTACGGCTGAAAACGTCGAGAAAATGAAGCCCTTTCGTTTTGCTCGGAATCAAAAATGTGTTCTAAAATAAACAACAATCCCAGATTTAGAATTTGATTCTAATGGTGGCTTCTCCTCTTTCGAATCTCTACCACTGGACCTCAAATTCTCAATCTAAGATCTTTTTTTTGATAAATAAGACAGACAACTCTGAGATGACAAGAAAGGAACAAAAAATACAACAGAGCTCCGAGTTTTTGTATCCTCCTCGTCATTTGGTCGTGTCTGGAGACTAAAACCGGCGAACAAGCTTTAGAAATTTAATTTCCAAAAATAAAGAAAACACATAAAGAAGAAGAAGAAGATAGTGAGAGAAAATGTCGTTTACAGGAACGTTGGATAAATGCAAGGCCTGTGACAAGACCGTGTATGTTATGGATCTTTTGACATTAGAGGGTAATACTTATCACAAATCATGTTTCAAATGCACCCATTGCAAAGGCACTCTCGTGGTATTTCTATTCTTTCTTCTTCCTCCATTGTTATACTCTGTTTCCCTGACAATGCTTTAAACAAAAAAAGATCATTTTTTTTGTAAACAGATAAGCAATTACTCATCAATGGATGGAGTTCTTTACTGTAAGCCACACTTCGAACAGCTTTTCAAAGAATCTGGCAACTACAGCAAGAACTTTCAGAATGGAAAGACCGAGAAGCCCAATGATCATCTGGTATTGTATAATTTATATATATGTTACTCTGTCTTCAATGATTCATCTTTTCGTTTCCAGTCCATCTGATCTTTTTCCCAACTGAATTCTGCAAGACTCGAACTCCGAGCAAGTTATCATCCTTCTTCAGTGGAACACAAGACAAGTGTGCCACTTGTAAGAAAACGGTCTACCCACTTGAGAAAGTAACTATGGAAGGTGAATGTTACCACAAGAATTGCTTCAGGTGCACACACAGTGGTTGTCCTTTGACTCACTCTTCTTACGCTTCTCTCAACGGCGTCCTCTACTGTAAAGTCCATTTCAATCAGCTCTTTCTCGAGAAAGGAAGTTACAATCACGTCCACCAAGCTGCTGCTAACCACCGCCGATCAGCCTCTTCTGGTGGCGCTTCTCCGCCTTCCGATGATCAAAAACCTAGCGACAGTGCTTCAATTCCCGAGGGAAAAGATGAAGAAGCAGTCCCTGAAGCTGCAGGAGAAGAGCCTGAGCCCGTGGCTGAGTCTTGAATGTGGTGGAGGAACGATCTTATCAGTTCTTAAGTTTCAAGTTTTATATGCTTTTATGTTTGAATGATTATTATGTATACAAAACTGTTTTTGTTTGTTTCTGTAAATTCTTGTAAAGTTTTAAGCCCTTTTGGAGAGAATCTGTTGTAAACCAAATCTTTAACATCCAATTTTTTTTGAAGAGGATATATATCTTTGACCTTATTTTATTTGATGAATCAAAATTCAAAACATACAGTATTGATAGTATTCAAACAAACTTCTTTCCATTTCTTGTACTGTAAACAATCAAAAGTTGTAAGATTTCGCCAAAGAAGAATCAAACTCTTGACACTGTTTATCCAGATGGATAGTGTTTCAAGACATAAACAGAGCCTTGCATTTTGCCATTGTGTCATCTGGACTCGTAACTGCAGCAACAGAAACAATTCTACTTGTTATGTCTCTGACACAAACAGAGAGAGATATACTGTGTAATATATCTAAGTAACTAACCTGAATGACCAATTGTTTTTGGTGACTCATAAATTTCATAATCGTTTCCACCCTGCAGAAGTTACAAGCCAACTTTTTACTCATCGAGCTCAGTGGAAACCGTCAAGAAGTAATGAAGCGATTTGGAAATTTAAGTTGAGGTTTCTACCTCATAGGTTTTGTCACCGAAGAAATGGATTTCACTGAAGTCCTCCAGGTATTGCAAGCAGTAAGTCTTATCCCAACCTTTAGGGAAGACCTGAGCCATAACAGTTAAAAAAGACTCAGTAACTAAACCAATAGATTTAAGGGATTGTTATAACCACATTTTGATTATACTCACATCGAAGCTAATCTGTCCTCCAATTGAGAAAGTAAGATTAAGATGGGCAAACCGCTCACGAAGTTCAGCTACCATCTTTGGTCTGATGTTTTGAACCTTTTATAACAAAATATTGAATGATAAGAATTCTCGAAGACAATATATATAAGAAACTGAAAAACGAAACTAATCCTCTATTCTACCTTATCATATCTCTCGAATTCGTCTCTTTCTTCTTGGCTGCAGTTCCGACCAATAGGTGATACATTGAGCATTCCATTACGGAATTCAATGAATGTTCCCCTGCGTATGCAAATTTCAAGAAAATAAATCATCTCATCACTTTGCAAACATGATTATAGACTAGTACTTGGATCCACATTATACCTTTTAATGGGAATATCCAAGTCAGCAATGTAGTGCAGCGTGAAGTTAATCAACTCCTGCATCATCAATTTACACATTCACAAACTATCCATATGCATATACTTGCAGACACTTCAAACATCAATGAAAGCACTAAAGAAACATTATAGCAACTTCTGCTATCACACATAAGGGACAATGATATGTGTTTTACCTTGAGTTTATCTTCTCCAAGGTACAGCTTCAGGCTCTGAGAAAAAAGATGCAAATTATTAAGAAACGTTAAAACAACAATGTGGATATGGAAGTAGAATTCGTAATTTGATATGCACCTGAATTCCAATGGATTTCCCATCTTTATGGGCAACAAGACCATTCTCAGAGAAACAATAATCATAGTCGTGAGTGACTGCAAAAATTCAAAAGTTTTAGCCAAACAGCTGGAGAATCACAAGGCAAGAGAGATAGAACCAGATTTAAAATGTCCTCTTCAAGAAAATTAAGACTTAAAAGGAAATCAAATACATTCCAGAATTTGAACTCGAGACAACGAAGATAATGATCAGCAGCTATACTAAATCCAAATCTACAGACTTTAAGGATCTTCTGTATCCATGTTGTTGATGGATCTAGTCAAGAAAATTAAAGCAGAGAACGTCTATCTCCACTATTAAGGGATCCATAGAGTAGAGAACAGAACAAAAGAGACCATCCTTATAAAATTAAAGTAAAAGATTATTTCTTTGAATACCAAAATAAAAAATTCCACCAGAGGTGATATTTATTGCGATCAGATCAGAGTCGTACCTGTTTTCCCAAGCTGCTCAGATATCTTGCTTAGATCAGATCCACCGACGACTCCAATAGTGACGACCTGCAACTCTCACAGACATTATATCGAACACTAAGCCGGCATAAACACAACTCATAGAAAGGCAGCTTGGCAATGGCAATCACATACCTTACGCAATTCTCGGATAAAATCGAGCAATTCTTGAGTAGCCTCCTTCCTCGGAGCAGTGAGAGTGCCGTCGACGTCGAACAAAGCGATCACTCCGGGTTTTTTCGCCGCCATTGAATCTGGTGATAGAGAGATCGTGAGGGAAGGATGAAGAGTTTTGAAATTCAATGGCGGAAGATGTGAATGAATATATTAATAAATTGGACCGATCTAATCGAAACCAAAGAGTGTCGCTTAAACTATGGTCCTCACTTTCTGTCATAGAGATCAGTGATTGGTGGATAAAATAATCGTGACGCATGAAAAATCTACTATTATTTCCCAAAATTCCTTATTTTTATGTTATTTGCTTTTTCTTATTCAATTCAAAGTAAAAGGTTGAAAAGTGAAAGTCACATCATTTCCCAACTCTTAGCAATTAAAAGTATTTCTTTTTTTACATTTTTTCAAAGGAAATGGTCCAAATGGATATTATCTACCAATATTAATGTAATTTTATATGGATTAAATTATAGACATGTTAGTTTTTTAAAAGGATACATTTTCTCTTTTATATTTTATTTTCTTTTGTTACAATTAAAAAAAAATACTTGATAATAGATTTACAGTGATATAATATTGAGGAATAAAATTCTACCAAAAAAAAAAAAGAAAAATTGTGAAATAAAATTTATTTGTTTTAATGTAATAGACTTTTTTAGAATTTTTGGAGAAAAGACTATACACTAGTTTGAATATTGAATATTCTCGTAACGGAAAAGAATAATACCCTCGTAAAGCCGTTAGTCGCGATCGCGGAGATGTGAATTTTTCAATTTATAATTTTCTTCTCCTCTAATTGTTAAACGCACGGCTCTGACAGTGACCCAAAAAAAAAAAAAAAAAATACTTGGAATAGTAGTACTGACTACTGAGGCCGAAAACAATTGTTTGTGAAGCAATTTAGGCTATTACTATAAATGGGCCTAGAAAACTGAAGCACAACGGGAAATACTTTATACGGCCCTATCCATATTTATTTGCAGTTCATGTGCCATTCACATTTGCTCCAACAATGTTCTCTTATAAATCTTTGATGATTTCTTCAAAATCAATACAACATTAACAATATACAAAAAATAGTAGTGAGATACAAGCAGTTTCTCTGACTCGTTACATTCTTGTGTATGTGATCACTCTCAGTGTGCCAACGAGCTTTGTCACATCATTAAAATTCAAAACTTTCATCCACTGCAGAAGCTTGACGACCTAAGATCTCCAAGACAACTTGAAGGAATGCTTCGTTTGACATCTCCAGCGAAAGCACTGGGAAGTTTTCACTTGGCTTTGTCATGCGTTGAAGATAATAGCTTTCGGAAAAAGACAAGGTTTTACGGTTTAGGAGAATATAGCATTCACAAAGGCCTCGGGATCAAAAGGTTGGAGATCTTCTACAGCTTCTCCTACACCAATAAACTTTACAGGGATGCCCAATTCCTCAACCACACTGACCTGCAGTAAGATATGCAGAACCAGTTTCAATGACAGAGCTGCTGGAAAATAAGAGCTTTAGGTGGGACGAGAAATTTAAAAAAAAAAAGAGAGAGAGTTTTATGGAGTTTTTACCACACAGCCTCCTCTAGCAGAGCCATCTAGTTTCGTCAATATCAAACCGGTTATACCAACAACCTGACCACCAAAATCTCAAGAAATCTCAAAATTTTACAAAGCATTTATAGTTTGGGGAACCAGAAACACGAGGTTTAAGTGGTTCCATATGCTACCTCGTTGAATTCTCTAGCTTGTGGAAGCATGTTCAAACCAGTGTTTCCATCAAGGACAAGTAGGATCTCCTGAAAATTTCGTGAAAAAATTTTTTAGCTAACATACTTGGAGACTAGCAGAGTGTAATAATATAAGCAAGATAATATAAAGAATCACTCACATTGGGTGCACCAGAGACAACCTTCCCCACTGCTTTTTTGCACGCAATCAACTCCTCCATCAGGCTGTAATTAGTATGAAGACCTTACATAAAGAGTTGTAATGTACCTCAGATCAGTCAAAACAGTGCAAAAGCATGTTTTTTAAGTCAACTAGAAAACTCTGTTATGCTTACGTCCAGATGTGTCACACAGTACAACATCATAACCTTCCTCCTTCCCTCTTTTCACAGCCTTTGAGAGAACTATTCAGAAATATAACGTTTTGATAATGAGATCACGTTGCTTATTTGCCCTTAACACTGACACTTACAAGCAAAAAAGTGCATTGGTCACCTGTTGCTGCTTTAGCCTTCTCTCCTTCAGCCACAACAATTTCACACCCAGTCCTCTCTGCCCATATCTCTAACTGGTCACTTGCTGCTGCTCTAAATGTATCACCTGCTGCCATTAATACCTATGACAATTCATCGCAGGATTGCTGATGAACATACTGATACTCAATTCTAAATTCTACCAATCCTGGTATTTTATCATTACTAATATGGGAAACCTCTTTCTAATATCCCACCCAAATCTCAAGAGAACAAAAAAAAAAAAAGGGCCTACATTGAAATTCAACATGAAAGTTGTACCTTAGTTCCTTCATTCTTGAATCTATGAGCCAGCTTTCCTGAAACACAAAAGCCAACTCGTACACATAAGATGGTTCTGTGGCTAAACCCAGTGCGAATCAAGGTAGTCTTTTGAGTTCCCACTCTAAACCAGAAATCTATGTTGCCTTACCAAGAGACGTAGTCTTCCCACCTCCGTTCACTCCAACAATCATTATAACAGCTGGTTTCCTGATAAACCACAGCATATAACCAAACTTGAACGACAGTCTTCCATAGCCCCAGAGCAGACCAAACTTTGAACCGGGGGGAAAGAAAAGACAAGAATAACAAGTAACCGAGAAAAATGAAGAGAACCTGAAACCCATTTGAAGCTCTGTCTTGCTGTTTTTCTTAGCCAGCATCTCTAACACACTGGCCTTCAATGCATCCTACGCCATTCACAATTTGGATCAACTAGCTATAAAGCCTAATTTCCTAACATGAAGGGTGTGCTACATATATGATATATAGAGTATAGAGAGCAACCTTGATCTCGCTTCCTGATTTGAGTTTCCCAGACAAAATATCCTCCCTTAGCTTCTCAACAATTCTAACCGTAATCTTGGGTCCAAAATCAGAAACCAAAAGCGCCTGCATTTGCATATTCCCACGATTATATTTCCATTGGCATCCGCAACCCACAGAATCGACAGTAAGAATTAAGAGGTTCAGTTTCAAAGGACCTCTTCCAGTTCATCGAGAACTCGGTCTGTTTCAGCAAGGTTCCAGAAGAGCAAGAGCTCGTCGATGACTGCTAGATTCTCCCTAGTCTTGGAGAATCCGGAGAAAACCTTCTCCACGTCGCTTTTGGCCTTCTCCTTAATCAACCGACCCAGCCGCGTGAAGAATCCGCTCGGTCCGGCCGAGCACCGGAACCGGGTAGTTGGAGGAAGAAATTCACATCTCTGAGGCAGTAATCCGGTCCGTTCGGAGGAGAACGGCGACATACGTCCGGCGAGAAACGAGAGGTGAGCAGAGGAAGTTGCCATGGCGCCTCGCAGCACAAGAGAGAGACTGGATAAAATGCAAGCTTTTCGATACGCCGCGTTTCGGGTTTGTATTGTTTCCCCCCATTATATTAGTAACAGGCTCACTTATGAATGAGGCCCATTTATGGTACACTCCCTTATAAGTCAGGCCCATTACAAATTATTTATATATTTCTTTGGAGTATAGTAGATGTTAACAAAAGCTAGGACGAATTATTAAGTGGTGCGTGTAATTTAAGATTAGATCAAATATTTAGTGTTGTTACATTGATACTAGTTAGCAGCTCATAAGAAAATGTGTTGTTTTCTATGATTAATCACTTTTTGGAGCTTCAGATACGATCATTACGCATGCCATGGTATTGGTAGCTAACAATTCTTTCTAATTTCGGAAAACGAGAACCTCATATTATTTGTGTTTTCCTCGTAAAGAAACATTTTGTTCAGCTTTACCATTACTAGTTTACTACGTATAATTTATTTTATTTGTTGTTGACAATTTATACTACAAATCGACCAAAAGTGAAAAAGTCAAGATATAATAAAAAGACTTTTGGTCTAACGTTTACTTTAATGCATCTATAGTTTTGTCTTTTAAGTATAGCATTTGTCTTATATTTGCGGCGATGACAAAGTTTACCAACAGCCGAACACATAAACGTCAGCGTTATGATGTATTCGCCGTGACCGTGAACAAAACTAGATTTGTGGAAAAGAAAGAAAAAGAACAGTTACATCTGTGGAAAAGAATACAAAAGTCTATATCGTTGGTCTTTTTTTCTAATAATTATAATATGTTTTGTACTATCAGAATTATAAGGATCGTACTTACATATGTAGTATATGTGTTCCACAAAATTAATATTAATTAAATCACATCATCTTTTTTTTTCCAAAAAAACTGATAAAGATGGAAAAAAAACTCTCTAGACTTTAAATTCACTGAACCACTGATAACCCTCCCTGACTTTATACATAAATTGATTTGCTTTTCTTTTGGTCAAGTTGCAAATGGACTTAGACCAACATTAACAATGAGATTTAGAGAGTATGTTAGAGTATTAAGGTTAAAAAATAAATCAAAATTAATTAATATAACTAAGATACGTAAGTTGGAGAAGGATTTATGTTGAGGGTTAAGATACGACACGTGGCAGACGAGGATTGGGTGAGGTGAGAAATATATAATAAGTTTTTTTTTTTTACTCAGATATTTTTTTTTTACTCTTCCTCTCTTTATCTCTCTAAACCACAAACGACATGAACCTTTTTATTGTATTTTTTATATTTCTCTTTTATGTATGTTTTCAAATTCTAAATTCTAAATTTGCAATAAATATAAGATTTTTTTAAATTACAAATTACAAAAAAAAAATTAAAAAAAAAATAAATTCTAAGATACCCAACTTAAGATCCTACCAATAAACACATCCAAAAACTAAAAACAAAATCAAATCTCTTAAACTCAACTTTTTCATATTTAATACTAAACTAATACTAACATACCCAAATTAAAAACCCACCTATAATGTTGCTCTTAGTAATTAGAATTAGAAAGCGGTTGGCCGCTAATTAACAAAATAAACACCTTAATATAAATTCCCAAAAAGCTTGAGCTCACATGGATTATCAAAACATGATGCAGATTAATTTGCATCAGAATTTACAACCATTTTGTACATTACCACTAATGCACATTACTGTGAATGTGATCAACTCATTATAAATATTAGCTGTTATTGGAATTTCGTGGTCACAGTAACGTTATACTTCAGTATCGTTGACTGGTATGTTGACTATAAGTACCACAATTTTTTTTAGATCGTATCCTATCCAACGAGCATGAGCCTAAGAAAGGATTAGTATTGTTCACCTATATGATGATTATCATTTTTTTTTAACTTTCTATTAATTTGGCCGACATTTCACATGTCCACATAGCTATATATATACTTTGTCAAAAAAAATAAAATATATATATAAGAAGAAGCTATACTTCTGTTCATTCTTACTTTCAAGTTTCAAACAAATTTTTTTGGGGTAAGGACGACCATAAGTGAAAAGTCACGATTTACTAGTCTTTGACTTTAACACTTAAATCTCTGACTTACACTTAGCTATGCGAGCGGACGCATATTAGTTTGACGTCACGTCGATGACGTAAGATAATTAATAAGCGATATGACATTATGAGATCAATATTATGGACATACATATCAGTAATGAGAATCGCTTAATGTAGTAACCAAAATAAAGCATTAATATTCCCCCGCTTAATGTTTCATTACAATTCTTGTAGTTCAGTTGTTTGTGTTGGCGATGGACAGAATAATGTCGCTTTAGGTTTACATTGGTTAGGGGATAACATTTAGCAATCAAAAAAATATAGATATTATTTTGTGTCATATATTTCGTTATCCATTGTTTAAATATACCGTCGAGTGAACATTAATTAAAAGAGAAACACAGGTTTGTTGTCCGTTACTATCGCTTAACAAAACCCCACAATGAAATTTATTTACATCATTGGATATGCACCAATCCAACGAATAGTATTTTTAAGTTTCAATTATTGAAATATAAATCATATGAAGCCTTTTTTAAAAAAAAAAAAAATCATATGTTTCTGTTATCTCGACATGTGAGAGATGTCTGAAACAACTACCGGGATTTTTCTCAATTTAAGATTTATTTTATATATAAACACAATCATTGTAATTAAAACTATATATTGGTGGAAAAATGATACAAAGACTTGCTATTTGCTTGCTGCAGGTCAATTATCTTTTAACGAGTACTTCATAAATGCTTGTACTATCACAGATTCATCAGCTAGCCATAAAACTATAATTAAGAATCGTGCAGATAAGTATTTTAGAATTTAATATAAATCAAATTGTTTACTTTTTCCACATTGGATAAGATGAAGTAAGCTAGGAAGCAACTAAAAAATTCCAACAAAAAAAAAGAAAAAAAAAAAAAACCATCGATATGTTTCTTTATCTTCTGACTAATTAACGAAAAGAACAACAAAATTAAATCCTCGATATTAAGGATGAAATGTTTGAACATTGGATTGTATATATCGTTATTGTAACAAATTTGAACGCATTTTGGTCTGCATGCGAATTATTATTATACATTCTCGGTTTATAATAACAATCGACAAAATTATTGCATGTTATTCACTCATCTTTCAATATTTAGAAAACAACACTTCCATACGCAAACGTTACGTCGTTTTTACCTTGTAAATTACAGTTCGTCTTTTTCCCGCGCAATCAACAAAAAATGGTTATGGACATAACACCGATCGAAGACTACTGATCCCCTGGAAGTCAACACGACAACATTGTAGAACACGTATTATTGCATTATCATTGATCGATCGAGTGTGTTCCATGATGAAATAACGAGGCAAATAACACGCGATAGATTTCCAAGAAACAGCCTGTAATGATTTATTCATCACTGCAAGCTAAGCCCAACAGTCATATTCTATTCATTCGGTCATAAAAAATAATTCATTAAAAAGGTAGTCGTCGTTATAATAGCCTCGTGGTAGTTTTAAACTTTTCAAATATGGGTGTATCATGTTCATGTATGTAGTATGATTTTCCCCACATTTACTTTAATTAACTTAATTACTTCTAGATGCATGGTTGAGAAGAAGGAGATGATCACCATGACGTCCGTAGTTGCGTTTTTTTTTTTTTTTAATATATATATGCATGCAGGTCATGATGTTGTTAGCGAAGATGTCAAAGACCTGGTTCTACCTATCCCAGCTATTGCCTACACCGACTGTTTGAAAGCGGATGAATCACGTAACTAGATTACTATAACAATTTGTAAGACTTTACTACTGGTCCGTCGACGTCAAAATATTTATATATATACACTACACGCAATTAATGTGAGAAAACGGCTATAGTGTGTTCTCGGACGGTAAGTTGTTCTTCCTCTAAACCCAACGGCCATTGCAGCTCTTCGTGTTTACGAGAGGGGTTAATGGCTCTTTTTATGATAAGACGTACGTACGTCCACTCACAATTTTTAGTCTCCAATGCGAAGATGCGAGAGATTAATTAATTTCTATATTATTATGAAGTCTGTTATATATTATGTTATGTGGCAAAATTGTTGCTGAGGTTATTATGATGAACTGGCCAACGATCGGAGAATGGTATGTGTTAAAAAAAAAAAAAAACTCGATTCCATTGGTACGGAAAACGCGTACCGACGACGTTAATTTGAACAGAGAATAAAAAGCAAGAAATACCTGAAAACTTCGTTCGAATGATCGTATCAGTTTCCTTCAACAACAAGTCAATTGAATGACACGTGCCTTAACAACGACTCCATCAAACTAGCGCCAAAAGACTTTCTCAAAAGATATTACGTTCCACGTACGCAATGTCTTCCTTTAAATTGGCACTTTCATAATTTCCCTCCAACTAAATTACTAGTTAATTTCGTGAACTTGGTAATTTTATATAATAAAGACGAAGTTTCTACGTTTCACTTGTTCACAAATAGAAAATCTTAAAAATATTCGTGAAAATTATACGTCCTGTTTGGTTTTTTTGTGGGAAAACCAAAAAAAATCTTTAAACAAAAGCAAAATCGTAGAGGTCTGTCTGTCTTTGTAGTGGAGGACCGAGCCTTTTCTTTGAAGAAAAGCTACAAGCTACTGTAGTTTACAAAAAAACAAAATCGATTAATAATATTTAAGGAAAATTGAGTAAAATACGTAAAATGAAGTGATGTAATCAAAGTATTAATTTGCAACAAAGACGCATCATTTTATTAAAAATGTAGACACGCCGCCCGCCACCGTTGATCATGCCACTGGCCATGCCAAGCCTCCACGAACCATCCGATCCACCACGTCATCTAATCCTATCTCTTGTAATTAAAAATAATAATTCTAATGTTTATCATATAACTTTTACCTCCCAATCCCGGTAAAAAAATAATGCACTGAATAACAATAATATTATTTTATAAAATCAATTCTAGAATAAGAATATATACATATATATTACGCGCGATAAGACGAAGAAGAATATATTCCCATTATTGATTAAATCAATTTAAAAGTATAGAAGATGCAACGGTCTAAAACTCTGACTGGTGTTGACAAAAAACAAAAAAGATATTGAAATTTCTCAGAAAATAAGATAAAAACAAAACACATTAGAAACTAAGTGGAAACAACGACGAAAAAAGCGTGCGCCTTCGTTATATATATATATATATATATATATATATATATACGCTCACTCAGTTCTCCGATTTCAAGAAACAAAACAATAAGAGGGAATCATCTCCTGCAAAGAGGATTAGACTTATATACACACACATAAACATAATTAAAGACAGACCATGTCGTATTCAGCAACAATGAAACGGTCACTCGAGATTGAGGTGATCTCAGCAGAAGGGCTCAAGGCAGATCGTAAACCATTGAAGAGAAAAACATACAGCGTCGTCAGCATCGACCAGAAATATTTTGCTTCCAAGCCGGATGATCTGGGTGGGAGCTGTCCTGTTTGGAAACACAAATTCGACATGGAGATGCCAATAAACGGAACCGTAGGGTTCATTACCGTCGAGGTACGTTATCGGACGAGTGGAGGAGCTGAGAAACATGTCGGATACGCCAAGATTCCCGTGACGGATTTCATGGGAGGTTTTGCTCCGCAAGGGCATTTGAACTTCTTGAGTTACAGGTTGAGAGATGAGTATGGTGACAAATGCGGCGTCGTCAATGTCTCTATCATGGTGAAACCTGACAGATCAATACCAGTGCCGTTGCCTTCGTCTTCATTTGCGCCGTGTTCTTCCCAAGCTGCTGCTAATAACCATATGTGGAGACCGAGGACTTCTTCATCAATGGCTTCCACTGCTGTTTATGGCGGTGGTCGTGTAGTCACCGGAGTTCCTGTTTGGTGTGCGTACCAACGCCCGGCTTAATTTTATTTTTCGTACCTGACTTGATCCTACGACTGCACATATTTATCTTTTGATTTTTTTTTTGCCATGTTTATTCCGAAAATTGGGATTTAATGGGAAAAAATAAAATAAAACGTTGATTAATCATGAAATCTGTTCGATTGAAGTATTATGAAATAAATAAAACACATTTGCTTAAAAGCTTTCACAATCGTTTTTCTCGTGTCTCTGATTTTGTTATTCTAGCTTTGTTTAAGGTTTCTTTTCTAAAAACATATTTGTTTTAAGATTTTTATAGTAAAAATAATTATATACATACACTACATGAAATTTCCATGACGACAACAATAGTTTGACTTTATATAATATGTTTGCGCAGCAGTCCACAATAAGAATTAGTCGTCTGGTGGTTAAAGTGTGTGAAGAATTTTGGTATGTCGTCAGGTTCGATACCTTACCAACGATTCGAAGCTGTGAGGAATATAGCGCATAATGATGGATTTGGGTTCATCACTAACGTCTGATTTACAGACGATATAGGTGCGCATCTGAGCTTTCTTCTTCTTTTTTTTTTTCTCATTTTCTTTATTTTCGAAACTATACAATATATTTTATGTAATAATTAGCTAGTAGCTGTGTACAATAGAATTGTGATGAAAGTGTTACCAGAAGTGGATAAAATGTGCTTTAGAAACAATCGTATTTTGCATCTTGATAATGAACTATTAACTTTACCAAATTATATGACCAAACCAAACAATACTTTTATTTAAATACTATTTTAACAAATTTTTATTAATCGCTCCAATCCATTAAGAAGTTGCATTCTTTGATACGTTTTATAACGTAATGAAAACGTTTTTTTTTCAATCACTTTGGTTGAAGGAAGTTTGTGTGGGCGTCTACTACACTCACATGCGCAAAGACAAGTTCTCTCTTAGTTGTTGTTGCAAACACTAAAACCACACGGCAAAACATCATTCTTATATAAAATATAATCTCGACCTGTATAACTATTTACTTACTGTATTTACACAACAAAATACTGAAATAGTAAAGAAACTGAGAAAGAGCTCAAGCCCCATCCGGATGTCTCAAGTTTCCACTGCGATACTTAAAGCTTTCAACTTTAACAGTGGAGAGAGACAAATATCACCGTCACCGATAAATGAGTCTGAATGGAGAAACTTTCATCATACTGCGTCGTTGCCACTTTGTTCGCCGGTTTTGAGAATGTTGAATTTGCAAAGAGGGCAAGTGGCATTAATGCGTAGCCATTTGTCTATGCAAGCTTCATGAAAATGGTGTCTGCATGAAAGTTCTCTCAGCTCTGTTCCATCTTCATAGTCACAGAGACAAATGCAACATTCCTGAAAAGAGGCAAAGGTTCATTTGTTTGTACCAATGGTCATCTCCCGTTTGGATATTTTGATAAGATTTTGGATTCGGATGGGTTATTTGACTTACAGCTTCGTCGCTTGATAGCACACGCTCAGATGGAGAGTCAACACTAAGTTGGGTCATTATTCCTCCATGAGATTCTCGTATCTCACCGTTCACTTTCTCTGAGTTTCTTACCGTCAGAAACTTGAATTTTGGGAGCCTTTCTATCTCCTCATCCGATGCTCCTTCCTGAAACATGAAGAAAGTAGCATTAGAAAAAGTCTCTTACCATATAACTAAACACAATCTACCGAAAACACCAGTCTTGACTCACCCGATCTGCCAAAGCGTACAAAACCGCAATGATGCAAGGCAGACAGCAGCAAACAGCAATACCGATAAGACAAGCAACAGCAACGCAAAGGACCACAAAGATAACATCAAAGGCGAGAAACGCGACACAGAGCCTGCAGACAAGAGAAACATAAGTATATGAAGTAAGAGGTTCCATCTAAAAGCTCAAACAAAGCAAAAGAAGCTAATGTGTGTATCCAAAACGAACCAGTAAAGTTTAGGTGAACTATGAGCGAGTTCCTCAGAATCAGCAGTGACCCAATAAAACCCAATGATCCACCAAACAAAGGAGAAGATCGCATTTGCTGATTCAAGGTGCTTAGCCAGGCTAGAAAGAAGGACCACTAAGAAGATCAAATAACATTCAACGGAAGTAGTATAAAGAAAGGAAAGGGATCAAAGCTTAGAAGCTTAACCTAGTTCCAGGCTCAATCTGGGAATCATCTACGACGGCGTAATCATCAGATTCATCTTCACTAGATCCCTGATTTGAGCTTGAACCCGAAACTAAATCTTCGTTGGGAAAATCATCAATATGTAGTCGGCGTCGACGACACTCAGCGATAACACAGCCAACATGAAACAAACACTGAAGATTATACCCAAGTATCCAGAATCTAAGAGGAACATCAGGATTCTCATCAGAACTAAACCCTAGAATAGCAATTGTGACCAACACAAAAGACAGGTTCCAGAGCACATCTAAGACTATGACCGGTTTCGAATACGCCCACTCACTCTGACGCTCCTCAATCTGTTCAGCCGCGTTCTCACGGACTCGAACCGATGACTCACGAAGCATCAACCGGCGACTGCTAGCTCGGCGAAGAAGCCGCGACGCTGCGCCACGTAGCGGCTGCGAGGAACGGGAGAGAGGACGCCGGTTTCGATTCAGAAGCGGCGACGAAACATCCGCCGCCGGAGAGGAAGAGGAGGAGGAGACAGGAAGCGGTGGAGGATACATTAGTACGGTGTCGGAGCAAACACGGTTCCAAAATTTCGGATTGGATCTTTGACGAATTGAAAAGAAAAAGAAAATGAAAATAGCTTTGAATTTGAATTGGTCTCTCTCTCTCTTGGTTGAATAATTGAATTTCACTGGAAATCTATACTATTAAAAGTGGAGCATTTTTTAAAAGTGTAACCAAACAGATTAAATAAAAAAAATGAAATAAAATGTAATCCTAAATCTATAGCCAAACAAAATTAATGACAGATTTTTAATTAAAAAATATGCTTAAAAATAAATAAAAAATCAAAACTAATAACTAACCAATATATATTTATGGAAATCATAATAAATTTGTTACCATAAAATAAGGCCTATTAAATTCGAAATTTTTATTTTGTAAACATATTTTATATTTTTCTAATAAAATTCACCTAATTAAAACTAATATATTTCAAAATATTATAACATTTAATTTTTGAAACGTTGGAAATAAATTGATATTTATAGTATTTAAATTGTATATATGTAAACAGTTTAAATTAGGTAAATAAACGTTTAAAATAAATTATGTCCAAGGGGAGTATAAATATTTTTCCTAATTTAAACTAATATATTTCAAAATATTATTATATTTTAATTTTTGAAACGTTTAAAATAATTTATATTTATAGTATTTTAAACTGTATATATGTAAACATATCTACAGTTTAAATTAGGTAAATAAAAGTTTAAAAGATTAAATACTCTAAATATTTAAATTCTATTGAATATAAGTATTATCAATATAAATACTATAAATATAAATTTTTGATCGAAGTTTAAGTAAATTTCTACTTTGGACGATTAAAAACAATTAAAAAAAATCAAATCAACAAATATGATAGGAGAACTATAATTTTAAATCTTCTAAATATCGATGTGTTTCTATTTCTATTATTTTCAAACTATTTTCCACTTAATTTTAAAGATAGTGTATTAAATGCAGTGGTATTTTTTGTAAATAGTTTAAAAGTCTATGATTTATTTCAAAAACTACTTTAAAATGTTAACATAGATAAATAGTATATCAAATAATTATATCTAAAAATATAACTTTGCAAGTACGTAAGGGTGTAAAACATTACGAACATTACCCTGCCAATATCTGAACGGAAAACGGTGAATGTGAAACGCAAATGAAAAAATATTTCCAAACTATTCATGATAAGATGTAGGAGAGATAAATTTTGTATAAAAATCTAAATAGTTTTTTTTTATCTATATTCGAATCTCATAATTTCATTTGAATATGAGTTAACTTTTGAACGGGTAAATATCTACTTTAGATGATAACTTTAAAGTTTAAGAGAGTTTGAGAATATTCAAACGTAAGATATGCATTATGTCTAAATTAGAAAAATTATTTCTAATTTAGAAAATTTATCAAAATGTATGCTACCCACGGATTTTTGCAAATTCAAACGGGATGAATGTAAACAGTGTTCATGTGGCGTTCATGGGATAGACTTTTTACTGGTAAAAAAACATCAAATACGTTGAGGGCGATTGGTGATGACTTTTAAGGCTTTAAAATGGTTTTAAAGCCTTAACAGTAATTAATTTGTCAATCAACATTTTTTGCTTTTATTTTTTTTTAAAGCATTAAAAGTCACTTCTTTTTTTTCCTTCTTTTTTTTCTCATTTTTTTCAAAGCGTCAAAAACCTGGTTTTAAATTTAATCAATTAAAAGGATTTATTTTTCATATCCCCATTACATTTAAAACCTTTTCACAAGTTTATAAATAAATTTTATATATTTTATTTTTATAAATTAATTACTCTCATTTTTTTCTTGTTCTTTTAAGATCCATTTCATAATACTTTTATTTTATAAAGTCATTTATAATATAATTTATATTTATTATAAATATAAAATAATAAAAATAAAAATAATATGCATAACTTTAAAAGTTGTTCTTTACCAATCAGATTTTAACAGTAAAAGTTTCTACAGCCAAAACATCTACAGCGAAATTCTTTGCAGCCAAAATTTTAAAGTTAAAGTCTCTACAGCCACAAGTAACAGTCGTTACCAATCGACCTCGTTATCAAAGTATATTTTTCCACCTTGACAGTTTAGGTAATTCGTTTTGCGAAATTTGATATTTTTGGCATTTATCCGATTTCATAGTTCAATCGTCTACTAAAAATATAATAGATTACATTAGTTTACAATTGATCCGGATCCGGTCTCATACCAAATCGGATCCATCATCATGTCGATCTGGATTTTTCTTTGCATCGATCCAAATATTATAATGTAACCATTACAAAAATTCAGAAATTTGATGAAACTAAATCATTATAAATATGATTTATAAAGATTGTATCAAATAATTATATCCAAAAATATATTCCCGCACGTATGTGCGGGTCCAAATCTAGTGTTAATTAAACCGAATAATCATTTATTTTTCTTCTTTAGGCCGGGGAGGTTCCTTTACATGGGAAAACGACAGAGGTTGTGTGTGTAAGCTAATTAATAATATTAGGATTGCTTGATTTGGGAATATTACTTGTCTCGTATCTTCTAATTAACTATTATTAGTGTCAAATCTTTTTAGTATCAGTTTAGTTTAGGTAGATAAAAAAAAAAAATACAAATTTAAAAAGGCCAAACTTTTACGTTTTCCTTTTCTGTTACCTCAAACCAATTTAACAGTTCCTGAGAGAACGTATCAAGATGATGATGGTATATTCATTTTTGTGTTTATCATCTCATTATGGGAGAAGTAAAAAGGCAAGAGTTATGGTGAGACTTGAAGACTAAAGCGTTGCTGATTCATAAAGCAAGCAGAAGACAAGTGAGCAACAGTTGAAACGCTTAAAATAGGAGAAAGCTCATCTAAAGGGCTGCCAAGCACAGAGCCACTGACTGGTATAGATAGTTTTACCTAAGTGCAACTTGTGGATGTTTCCATTTCTTTATTGAATTTGTCTCTCCGGTCATTGTTTGTAACACAATTGTGTGATTCCACTAGTCACTTTTTTTTTTGTTTATTTGTCTTGCTGTGTTCTCTGTATATAAATCATGCATCATTATGATTATAAATCGTCATCTTCGACATAGGTTCCGGCGAGGCGAAAGAGAGATAAAGCTTCTTCTTTGTTTGAGTGAAAGAGATGATGAGACCGCCTGATATTCAATTGTGTGTGACCACCTTTTGTAATCAATCACTAGTATCGGTGTCGCGCGTGTCGTGTGTTTATCTTTCTTAAAACACACTTACTTTATTATATAACCGTATTAATTGCTATATCTATAATCTTTTATGTGATGTAAACTTGGGAAACCAAGTAAATTTTCATAAATAACTGTAAATGTACTACTAGTATCACGACGTAATAAGTCGTATAGTAGTAAAGTAGAACTGGGAGCTATTTGTAAGATTACAGATTGAACATAATAAAATAAAAAATAATACTAGTGACAAATGTTGGAACAGAGACTTGTCGGTGTTCACTCTGTAAGAAAACATAAGTCCACGTAGATATGTATTTCGTCACTGCAAGAGTGGTGCTTAAAATAGTCTACTAAAAATAAACCCATTGTATAATTTGAACAAAACAACAACCTATGTATAAAAGTTTTTTTCTGTTAAAAAAAAAAGATGTAAAATTATTAAACTAATTTTATAGTACTGAAACGTTTTAATTTATCAATTAAGTAAGTATAGTTGGTACGTAGCAGAGTATTGGGTGATGTATTTATTCAATTAGTATTTGTTATTGGAGAGGCATTATATTTATATTATTTTGTAGCTGTTTAATACAAATCTCATTGATGTTTTTTTATTTTTAATTATTTTAATAAGTGCAAGGTGAGTGAAAGTTTTGGTGGTTGCTTGTATGATTGACTACTTACCTTAAAAAATACTAACTGGTATCATATGATGAACAGCGTTATATCAAAATACACCAGGAATAAAATGTCATTCTGATCAATACATAAACAGTAATCAGTAGTCTATTTCAATTCGTAAAAGAATCAGAGAACTACTAACGTATAAGAAGAATCCACGCATGTATTTGAGAGTGTATTATAGAGATACTATATTTTTTTTTATATACTGGAATATTATTTATATATAATGTAATGGAGTATATATTTTTGTTTGTTATGAATTACTGTTAGTGTGACCAAGGAGGACTATAATGACAGAACTCAGAGAGAGAGAGAGAGAGATTTTTTTTTGGGATCAAGTTTGATGTGAAATTTTTATGATCACACACATTAACACTTGTCAACACATTACAGTCTCTCTCTCTCTCTCTCACTCACTCTCTCTCACTTTACCATCGTCAAGAAGCTAGATTATCATCAGACACACACACTTGTCTCTCTCTCTCATACTTTAATTTAGTTCCATTGCCAAGAAGCTAAGATTAATTAATCATCACACACACACACACTTAACTCTCTATTAGTTGTATCTTTAAAAGAGAACTCATATTTCTAATTCCACGTCACCATTTGCTATTTCTTTGGCCTATCAACTTTAAAATCTTTTTGTTTGTTTTTAATGTTTATAACATGGTACTATTAAACTCGATCGAACCCAACGTTGGGATCTGTTTCATCAAACTTTTTAAATCACTAATCAATTCGGTGGTAAACTATAGATGAACTAATTATTGAGAATATCTCTTTCCTAAAACACTCTTTATCTTTCTTTCTTTTTATTAACAAAGACAACATATACTACTACAAAAATTGGATCCCTCTTCAACCATTGCATTGATGTTAAACTATACCAGGTACTTACTAATGTAGATTTGTAGTGTAGAAAATGCATCTTCAATCATTTGCATTTATGTTTAATTTACTTGAGAGTTGAGATCGACCTAACAGGTAAGCACTGTATATTATACTGTGTTACAAGCTAATAAATGCCATTAATTATGTATAGTGGTAAAAAGCAAAACACCATCGTTTTGTTAGTTTCTTTTTTTTTGGTTCTTTCTTACAATTTTAATGAGAATATAAATTCAATATCATGGACTCTTTTGGTGCTTAATAACTGACCCAAAAAAGAGAGAAAAAAAAAAGAAGAAGACATCATTTACATATATGTATACTACTTGTTCATTCCTTACTCTTACCTTCGTGCAAATTAAAGAAACAGTGGACAATAAAGAGCAAAGGGGGATGTTGACATTTTTGACAGAAAAGTATTGCATATCTACACAGACATGTAATCGCATATATGTGTGTATGGGTTCATAACGGCAAAATACTAATTTGCCACTTATGGGTACCGCTCTCTGTCTCTTTCTTCTTCTTTTTTTTTTCCAGAAAAGTCCACTTTGATTTATACAAGGGAATTTTGTCTTCCATGCCAGTTTTGAAACTCAATCTTCTCTAATTGCCATTTTTGAAAACTCCTTTCAAATCCTGCCACAAAAAATTTAGTATGGACGATTTTGCCCTCAGGCAAATATTTTGAAAAAAACAAAATCAAAAAAAAAAAAAATCTGGTCCACTAGATCTGGTCCACTAGATCTGATCCGACATAACTATTTCGAGTCTACTCCACTAAAATTGGTTCGTCGAATGTTGTCCATCAATAGAAAAATGAATCTTGTCCACCATAAACGCATCACTTGTTTTATCATGTGGTCCGTCGAATCAGATCCACTTGAACTGTCAGCCGAAACAAGTCTATCATAACTAGTTTTTGTCTGCCGGGAATGGTTTGCCATAACTTGTCCATCGTAACTGGTCTCTTTGGTCCGCCGGAACTGGTTATAGTTCGTCGGAACTGTCTATGGTCCACTTGAACTGGTCTGCCAAATCTGGTCTATCGGAACTCGTCTATTTGGTCTGTCATAACTGGTCCGTCGAATCTGGTTTGCGAGAACTTGTTATAGTTCACCAGAACTGACTATGGTCTGCCGGAACTCGTCCGCCGGAGTTCTGGTCGAAACTCGTCCGGCGGAGTTCTAGTCGAAACTCGTCTGCCGGAGTTCTGGTCAACTGGAACTGGTCCGCCGGAATTAGTCCGATGGATCTGGTCTGCCAGAATTAGTTCGCTGGATCTGGTCCGTCAGAATTAGTCTACTGGATCTGGTCCGCCGAATTTCATCTGCTGGATCTGGTCCGCCGGAATTCGTCTGCTAGATTTGGTCCGCCGGAATAGCTTGTTATTGGAAGAAGAAAAAGAAGATGAAGAAGAAGAAAGAGATAATTATTGAAAAAGAGAAAAATTAGGTTTTACAAATTTCATTGATGAGAGGGCACCGGAAGTGGCTATGCTCCGCCGGAGTTTGTCCGCCGGATTTGTCTGCCGGAGTTTGTCCGTCGGATTTGTCCGCCGGAGTTCGTCCGTCGGATCTGTTCTACTAGAACTATTTGTTGTTGGAAGAAGAAAAAAAGATGAAAAAGAGAGAGATAATGAAAGAAAAGGAAAAGAGTAACATGGTCGTTTTACATTGGATCTATGGCATGTTTTGAAAGAAGTTATAAAAAATGGCATTTTAAAGAAGATTTGATACTGTACATGGCATTCCCCACAATTTTCTCTTTCTACAATAATATTTTTGAGTCCAATTAAGTTTGTAGTAATTTTTTGATTAATATTAGGGTTGCATGTAATTAAAAAAAAAAAAGAAGAAAATGAATACACACGCTTGATTAATTTTAGCAGATTCTTAATCGATGTTTGTTATTTTGTTGTGTATCTTGGACTTAAAAATAAAAAGATCTATAAACAAAAGCAAAAAAAAAAAGAAAAAAAAAAGAGAAAAGAAAACACAAAGGGAATTAAATGAGATGTGGTCCAAATGGGTGAGGAAAAACATTTCTATTTTGGGAAAAAGATAATGGGCCCATGGATAGGCCAAAACAAGTTTAATAGCCATCTCGCATGGTCTTATGCTTCTCTATGATCATGTTACTGTAAATTTTAAACTCAACATATTATGAACATATTACTGTAAGATCTCAATCGAACCAAAACTGAACATGTAAAAACCAAATTACATTTTAGAGAAATAGGCACTCTTGGTGTTCAAAAAAAAAAAAAAAAAAAAAAAAAAAAAAGACAAATAGGCACTCTCACAAACTTTATGTATTTTCTTTTTAATCTGATCAAAAGAAACAAACCTTAGTTCGAACGATCCCAATATTTGTCTTGTTTCTTTTCTCTCTGATCTCTGTCTCTGTCTCTTTCTCTCTCTCTCTCTCTTATCTATACATATGTGTAATGTGTATATACATCTATCTCTTTTTGGCCAAAAACCTCCCATTATTTCTCTCAATGATGTAAAAATGCAGACATAAAGAAAACATTCCTTATTGAGATAAAATATGAAATGTGTCATAACCCTCGACTGACGATCCCTCCTCACGTTCCTCTTTACCCTAATTACTTTTACATTATTACTTTTTTACCACATCTACTCTTACAATCGATACTCTTGCTTTTATACCAACTAGCACAAACAAAAATATAGAAGAAAGTGAGAGAAAGAAAGGATCATAAAGAAAAGAGAGATATGCTATCCTTGAGCAAGTTTCGCCCATTCCAAGTAAGTCATGTAGATTTTAGTTTTTTCTTTCTTCTTGCCTTTTTTTCTTTTCTCAACATTTAAGTAGCTAGCCATGGACCCAAATAAAACATTAGTGCTTTTCTTCTTTCTTTTTTTTTTTTGTAAAAAGGAGTACTAAAGATCTATGTTTGTTGTGTTTTTTTTTATATAAAATGATGGAATGTGAAAAGAGGGTTTAGACCTTTTTTGCTAAAGATTTTATTTTATTGTTATTTGTTTTGGTTCTTATTGGATGAATGTAAAAAGTAAAGATTTATGTTTGTCGTGGTTTTTTATAAAATGATGGAATGTGAAAAGAGGGTTTAGACCTTTTTTGCTAAAGATTTTATTTTATTGTTATTTGTTTTGGTTCTTATTGGATGAATGTAAAAAGTAAAGATTTATGTTTGTCGTGGTTTTTTATAAAATGATGGAATGTGAAAAGAGGGTTTAGACCTTTTTTGCTATAATTTTTATTTTTGTTGTTGTTTGTTTTGGTTTCTATGTGATGAATGTAAAAAATAAAGATTTAGGTTTGTTTTGGTTTTTATAAATTGAAAAGAGGTTTTAGACCTTTTGTGCTAAAAAATTTATTTTTGTTGTTGTTTGTTTTGGTTTCTATGTGATGAATGTAAAAAGTAAAGATTTATGTTTGTTTTGGTTATTTATAAATTGATGGAATGTGTAAAAAAGGTCTAGACCTTTTGTGCTAAAGATTTGATTTTGTTGTTGTTTGTTGTGGTTCCTAAGTAAATATTTTTTTTTTGGTTGTAATTTAACTTAGATGGTGAAGAAGATCCTACCCCATACCATCGCCGTCCCTCATACCGTCGGAGGTCGTACTCATACTCAGGTTTATACATTTTCTTTTTCTGTTTATTGGTTTCTATTTGCTACGTGGGCTTGGTTGCTATTTGCTTATATGTGGGTTTCTATTTGCTCATGTGGACTTTTATTTGTTGTTGTAACATTAACAATATACAAAAATAGTAGTGAGATACAATCAGTTTCTCTGACTCGTTACATTCTTGTGTATGTGATCACTCTCAGTGTGCCAACGAGCTTTGTCACATCATTAAAATTCAAAACTTTCATCCACTGCAGAAGCTTGACGACCTAAATTGAAATTCAACATGAAAGATGTACCTTATTTCATTCTCCTCTCTTTTTTAGGTCACTTTTGGCTCAAATAAGAGTTTGGTGGAAGCTGCGCCTAAAGAGAAGTTGAAACTGCACTTGTTCTCCATCAGAGACTACTCAAACTCATCACAGGAAAAGGCGCCCTGGTTAAAGACAGTGAAGGGTGATCTGAGGACATTTTTCCGAGCTGAATACGAAAAACCCGTTGAAACCAAAACTGCTGGAAAGACCAAAACTGCTGGAAAGACCAAAACTGCTGGAAATCCCTTACGGAAGGGGCTGAAACGAATCAAAGAAATATATGGAATGAAAGAAGAGATAATTATGGAAAAGGACAAATCTGGACACAAGACTGTGACTCTCAAATTCGAAGACTTTGATGACATGTATGAGAGCAACGAGGTTGATGAACAGGGTAACAAGGTATGGTGTCCTCATACCTACTATTTGAAAGTCACTATTCGCGGGACGAGATGCTACTTCACCGTTGTGCACGGGACCTACATCATACCGATCACCTGTGTGAATATTTGAGACTTGTGTTGCTCGTTTACTCTGTTTCACGTTTTCTCTGTTTCAATATCTTTCTATGTTTCAATCTGTTTGACTCAGCACAAATCTCTTTCTTTGTTTCACTTGTTCAAAACGATATCATTTGCTCATATTTTGTGTTCATATATCGCTTTCTCTAGCTTCTGGTCGTAGCAAACATGAGACTATTGCCAAACATTAAAAGAAATTTTGATTTTATTTTATGGCGATGGACTTGGAAAAGATTTCGAGAACCTAGCCCTCTAGGTTTGTAGTTACAAATCAGAAGAAAACTTTCTATTCTTCCAAAAACTCCTTAACATGATCTAACCACAACCAGTACTCTAGCTTCAATTTATTCAACATGTAACTCTTAATAATATCGAATGTGGAAGAATTCAATCCTCTGATCTCGAGATACTTGTTGAATGCCTTTCTCTTCAAGCCCTCGTGATCCATTAGTCTGCAAAAAGAAAAATGAGGAACACACACAAATTGTAACCATCATCATGGCAACTGTATTATATTACAGAGTTGTTGTTTTCTTTTCTTTTTTTTTTGTTATTCACAAGGCTTACACTAAATCATCCATGTCCTGGATCACCTCTGGATCTTCCCCTGGTAGGTTCACATGTATAGCATCAATGATAATCTCATATGAAGACTCCGTAGCCCTGCCGCGTAACTCTAGGCTACGTCCACTCTTCTTGGTAACAGTCACAACGAAAGGAATAACAGTGTTACAAGAACAATCATCATCATCATCATTGCTTGATTCATTACTCGGAGCATCATCATCATGATCATCACTTGATTCTTCACTATGAGCATCGTCATTTGATCCATTATCAAAAAGCATGCTTACTACAACTTCAATATGCTCCCCATTGTGCTCTCTAGTCAATGTAACAGTCCTGTCTCCAGGATTATCTTCAACTTTGAAAGGGAAACTTGCAGGAGGATTCCTCATGCCTACAGAGCGATTCCTCCAGAGAGCCTTAACAAATCTGGTGAACTGGTCGAGACACATCTCTTAAATGTCAGGAAATTTTCACTAACTTAGCTCAAAATTGTAATGCAAAAAGGAGTAGAGTCAAACTGCAAAACCTAGTGGTAAGTAAAACATTATATAAACGGGCAAAGGAAACAATATAGCTCCAGCAGAAAGAGACAAAATCGTGTGTAGCTACAGAAGAGTAAGCACATTTTCTCATACAAAGATCCAGTATCCACATGAACAAAATCTCCCAATTTAAATGAACCTTTTTCAACAAGTGCATAACAAACATAAGGTGTTTTAGAAAAGATTACCACATCATCATCAACGACGTCGAAAGGACCTTTATACTCAGCGTCAATCACCCGGAGAACCGCTTTCTCCGAACTGACCCAGTCATCATCAACAGCAGCCGTCGAGTACAGGAATCCACGAGAGACAAAGGGACTTAGGGGAGATGGGTTGTGAACAAGAGACGGACGGTTGACAACGGTGGAGATAGACCTGACTCGACCACCACACACTGAAGAAGCTAGCCTTGATGCTGACCTACTGAAGCACAAATTAGCAAAACCCATAAAGAAATTGTAAACAACTGAGATTTGCTATGTTTGATCTTTCACACGCCGCTATGGCTAATATATACACAACGGTGAATGCTAAGCTTGGAGAGCTATTAGGGCATCGTGAATACTTGGAGAGCAAGCTCACTTATTTTACCCTCTCCTAAAATGGTAAAACAAATTATTAGGAATTGTGCTATTTCCGCCAAATATTACCATATCGCATAATATGCTTCGTCACCGAGTTATTATTAATCACTCCTTTTTGGAAACTTAAATATCCCTTAAATCTCATATGTACATTTTTGCAAGGTGAGCAAACCGCTCACGAAGTTCAGCTACATCTTTGGTCGGATGGTTTGAAACATTTAAGAAATAATCTTGAATGATAACAATCCTAAATACCTATTTCAATGCCAACAAGAAGTGTCACGTAACCATAGTAATATTTCTCTTCCTTTCTGAAGAACCCTCGGATACGTTCGACGGATCGAAGGTACGGACGAGGATCGATGAACGGATCGGATACTGTCGAGCGAACGAAGCGGCTGATGCGGGATGGGAGAACTCGCTCGTACGAATGAGAGATGCTCTCGGTGGATGAACGGTGGAGTGATTCAACGACACACGAGTGATGGAAAAGCCCGTGATACGGTTGACCCGTCGATGGTGGAGCCCGGCTCGATCGATCGACGAGGGTTTTCGAATCCTTTAGTCGGCGTGAGGCCTTTGTAAGAGAAACGAAGAAATGACGCAAGAGAGAAACCTAGGGTTTTGATTCAAGCAAGCGTGTCTATTACAAGGGTTGAGCAGCCTTTAAATAGGTGCGATCGAGAGAAGGAGCCTATTCTTGCCCTAGGCCACGTGTGTGGTCGAGCGGCTTACAACACTTGAAACAAAAGGACAAAAATTACTAACGTTCGAAATTCAAAGTAAGGATAGGATTCACGCGTCTAGGGTAAACGCGGGAATGCGCTAGGATTAACTGCCTCGTTAAAACCTTCTCGGTAAAACCCATTGGGATAAAAACCGAGGTAGGAAAAAGAGTACAGCCTCTCGCTAACGACTTAAACGTCTTCACCAATGGTGATGGTGAAGACCATCCATGATGGCTCTTCGTCTTGACTTGGTGGATCGTCGAAGACATGTTTGTCCGAGGCATGATCTTGAATGTACCCTTGAAGGAAGAGGTTGAATTGGTCTCGGACATTCTTCTCCATGCGTCGGCTCCTTGTGATCGCTCCTTGGTCAAGAATCGGGACTTTGGGTCGAGTCATCGATCGGGTCTGTCGGATGTCGTCGGTCGCCTCAGTCGATCTCTCGATCTGTCCGTGCCTCGAGCGGTCGATACTCGTCCCGTCTCGGTCGTCGTCCGTCCGTCCGGGCGTCTCGTCCGTCCGTTCCATGCTGTCGCTGCTCGAGGTCACATCATCCCTCCCCCCTTCAAATGGTTTTGTCCTCAAAACATGCTCCTCGTCCCCTACATCAAACGGAGAGAGATCAGTAACATTAAAGGAGGTAGAGATAAGAGGCTCACCCGGTAGTGCGAGACGGTAGGCATTGTCATTGATCCGCTTGGTGACTTGGAATGGTCCGTCGCCTCGGTGGCTGAGCTTGTCTTTCCTTCGGGTTGGAAATCTCTCCGGGCGTAGATGAAGCCACACCCAATCGCCGGGTTGGAAGATCATCGGTTTGCGCCGTTTGTTGGCTTGTCGGGCATAATGCTCGGTCCTTTTTTCGATATTCTTGCGGATCTTCTCGTGGAACTCTCGGACATACTTGCTCTTCTCGACTCCCTCAAGACTAATGATCGGGTCCAATGGCAACGGGAGGAGATCCAAAGGAGTCAGCGGCTTGTAACCATATACAACTTCGAACGGTGACGTCTTGGTAGCCGAGTGCTCGGACCGGTTGTATGCGAACTCGAGGAATGGAAGACAATCGATCCAAGATCCCTTATTTTGGGCAATTGTTGTCCGCAAAAGGTTGCCTAAGGTTCGGTTGGTGACCTCGGTCTGTCCATCGGTTTGTGGGTGCGCGGCTGTCGAGTAAAGTAACCTCGTCCCGAGCTTCTTCCACAAAGTCCGCCAGAAATGTCCGAGAAACTTCTTGTCTCGATCGGACACGATCGTGCGAGGAATCCCGTGAAGCTTGACCACGTCCCGGAAGAAAAGATTGGCGATGTGTACCGCGTCGTTGGATTTGTGGCACGGAATGAAGTGCGCCATCTTCGAGAACCTGTCGACCACCACAAATATGCTGTCCTTGTTGTCGATGATCGGGAGGCCTAGCACAAAATCCATCGATAGATCGACCCAAGGGCTTTCCGGGATCGGGAGCGGAGTATACAAACCATGCGGTCGGGTCGTCGACTTGGCCTTTCGGCAAATCAAGCATCGGCCACAAAACTTCTCGACCATCCGCTTCATCTTCGGCCAATAGAAGTGTTCTCGTAACACAGCTAAGGTTTTGGCCACGCCAAAGTGTCCGGTCAACCCTCCTCCATGCGCCTCTCGGAGAAGTAATTCGCGTATCGACCCATCCGGTACGCAAAGTCGGTGTTCTCGGAATAAGAACCCATCGTGGATAAAGAAACGGTCGAAGTTAGCCTTCCCATGCTCTCGGTAACATTCGCCAAATTCAGGGTCGTTCGCATATTGGTCCTTAAGCCCCTCGAACCCCAAGATGGTCGCATCCATGGTTGTGATCAAAGCATGTCGTCTCGATAAGGCGTCGGCCACAATATTCTCCTTGCCTTTCTTATACTTGATGACGTATGGGAAAGCCTCTATAAACTCCAACCACTTAGCATGTCTTCTCTTCAGGTTGGTTTGCCCTCGGAGATGCTTCAAGGTCTCGTGATCGGTATGGATTACGCACTCTCGGGCGAGAAGGTAGTGCTGCCAAGTTTCCATTGCTCGGACTAAGGCATATAACTCCTTATCGTAGGTCGGGTAGTTTAAGGTTGCTCCGCTGAGCTTCTCACTGAAATAGGCGACCGGCTTGCCTCCTTGGGTAAGAACGGCTCCGATGCCAACATTGGATGCATCGCACTCGACCTCGAACGTCTTGTTGAAGTCCGGTAAAACCAAGAGTGGGGCTTCCGTAAGTCGCTTCTTTAGCTCTTTAAATGCCTTCTCTTGGGCTTCCCCCCAATGGAACTCAACACTCTTCTTGATGACCGCGGTGAGAGGTGCGGCGATGGTGCTAAAGTCTCGGACAAATCGTCGATAAAAACTGGCCAGCCCGTGGAAACTTCGAACTTGACCGATACTAGTTGGTGTTGGCCACTCCTCGATGGCTTTGATCTTGTCATTGTCAACCTTAAGTCCCTGTTCACTAATAACAAAACCTAAAAAGACAAGTTCATTAGCTCCGAACACGCATTTCGTGAGATTTGCGTATAGTTTTGCCTCTCTAAGAGTTTGTAACACCATTTCAAGGTGATCCAAATGCTCTTCTAGGCCCTTGCTATAGATAAGGATGTCATCAAAGTAAACAACGACAAATTTATTGATAAAGGTTCGAAGAACCTGGTTCATAAGTCGCATGAAGGTCGATGGTGCGTTGGAAAGGCCGAACGGCATCACCAACCACTCGTACAGCCCTTGCTTAGTCTTGAAGGCTGTCTTCCACTCGTCTCCTTCCTTCATTCTCACTTGATGATAACCGCTTTTGAGGTCGACCTTTGAGAAGATGACGGAGCCACTTAATTCATCGAGCATATCATCGAGCCGCGGGATCGGGTGTCGATACTTGATCGTGATGTTGTTAACGGCGCGACAGT